GGGGGGGGGGGGGGGGCGGGGGGGGGGGGGGGGGGTGGGGGGGGGGTTACATTCTTTTTTCCAGGTGGCTCTGTAATGACCTGAAACTGTCCAATACTGATGCACATAATGGCAATGGACTCTACTACTATCCTACTGCTTGGGAACACCATACGCCATGGGTATTAAATGCCTTTTAGCATATTTTGCACCAATCATTGGGGGACTCTGGACTTTCCAGGACAGGTGGTCATTCTACACTACCATCAGGAACATGAATAGCAACAATTTATGATATGTGCGTAACTACTGTTCAGACAATAGATGCACACATATAAGTATAGGATCAGTAATTCCAACAGAGATCAACCAAAAGTATTTTATTCTTCATTTTGGGACATGCCCTTATAACAATTATAAATAATTGAAGACTATGTTCATTATTACTTTTCCATTTTGAGATATTTCTGCCCACGGCACTTGGACAGGTAAGTTAAGATGACATAAAAATCAATTCCAAGAAGCATGGGTAGATAACTTGACTTTAAAAAGAGAATACTTTAAAGTATTTCTCACCTGTTTCTATGTAGCAAAATGCTAGTTGGCGATGCATCTAGTGTTGTTGTGTAAATCAATTCCTTTGATTTAAACTTCCAAAATTTGATCATTTTATCCCCACCAGCAGTAATTGTGAGCTGATTCAGTCCATCAACAGCAACCCCTCGGATCTGGCCTTCATGAGCTTAGGAAATTAAGTGAATAGTCATGTTAGCATTTGAATAAAACTATAATACTATGTACTCAATTAATGAAGTTGAAACAACTTTCAAGTGCAAATGGGTCTAGTCTAGTTTGGGAAACCTGGTTAGAATGGACCGATGGGTCTGTTTCCATGCTGTATGACTATCATCTATAATAGCCAATGCAGCATGAGGGGCTGCTACACTGCTGAACGTACAGTCCTCTAGATGAGAAATTAAACCAAGGCCACATTAGCCTGTGCCATTTCTGGGTCTAAGTTCCTTCCTCAGTGAACACCATCAGAAATAAAGCAGTTATCAAATTAATTGGAATGGGGAAGAGGAAGGGGTAGATCAGCACAAAATAACCATAGCCAATACACCAAGTCATTTCAAATAAAGTACTGAAGCACTTTAGGACACTACAATAAAATGCAAGGTAAATGTAGGCTTAAATTTTGCCTAGAACGTTCACCCTAGCTCAATAAATGAATGCTCCATGTGGTTGTGTATTAAAGCAGGTGCATCAAAAGGATCCCCGAGTTCATCCTTACACAGCAATTAACTGGTCTTTTTACCAGTAGAGCAGAGCAGGTAAGTCTTGTATATTAAAACTGATAGGGAAAAGATTGTTTTATTGTGATGCTGAAAGTTGAATGGTCCAGCAATCTGGAAATACACAAGAAGACTCATCTTGACAAAGAATCTGCAGGATATAGATTAAATGAGTAGAAGAAAACTTGCCAGAGGAGATATAGCGTGGGAAAATACAAGGTTTGTCAAAACAATACAAGAGCTAAATATTATGCAAATGAGAGAGACTATAGAAAGCTGCAGAGGGATTTAGGGATCCCTGTGCACAAATCCCAAAGCAAAAATCCAAGTTCAGTGGATAATAGAGAAGGTAAATGAACATCAGCTATTATTTTCAAAGTGAAAAAATATGGAATTCTTGCTTAAACTATACAAGGTCACATTAGTAGGACTAGTCAGCTGATTACTGTGAATAGTTTTGCCCTCTTGTCTAAAGGAAGATTACTGGCATTGAAGCTAGTCCAGAGAAGGTTCATTTGTTTAATTCTGGTGTGAAGGTGTTTTGCTCTGATCATTTTCAAAATTTTAAGTAAACATTGATTACAAAAGATAGAGAAAACAAGCCATTTATGCGGGCAGTGCTTTTGATTTGAATAAATTTCTACAGTAGCTCATGTCAAAAATGATCAGTTGTCAAATATTTTGCATTATGCTGTCACGCAAGTTGATCTAACAACATGTTCCCACACGGAGGGGAATAAAGAGCGTTTTGCGCATCGCTTAGCAATCCACTTCAATTTCTGTATTTCATTGTTTGCATCCATTTGTCTGTATAAAAAACAATTAAAGCAAATAAATACTTCCAATCATTATCTTGTCTTTATACTTACCCTTTTCTTTACCATACTGTCCTCTGTGGATGCCTGATTGCAAGTTATATACATCCACATGGCCTGAAGAAAGGCCAACAACAGCAAAATTTCCACAAGATGTAATATCCACAGCCTAAGAATGCAACAAAATTAATATACAAGTACTGATAATTTTTAAAATGCTTCAATTCAACCATAAAATATATTGCATTTGCAAAAAGCAATAAAGAAATTAAAAGGATGAACTTTCATCATTGCCTTGCTGGACATTTGGGCATGAACCATGGAAACATTTGACTTTGATTTCAGTTTTGTTATTATTATTTGTTTTCTTTATCTTCCTTCAATGTAATTATTTCTACTTTTGAACTTTCTTGAGCACCAATAAATTTCTTTTCTCAACAACATTACATACACCATCTCCTTCATTCTTTTTACGCCGTTTTTCTTCACTGTCTTCAGGTGAGTGGTTAGAAAAAAATGTAGTGGCAGATGATTAGTGATTAGTTATTCTAATTCCCTATATTAGATAGGGTGATGAAACATGTCCAGGGAATTACTGGCCAGTCTGCTTACCATTAGTATAGGAAAAATAGTGCAATCCTTACTAAAGGAGAGAATAGAAGAACATCTGGAAATGTGAAACATAGGCTTTTGAGAGAAAAATCTTGCACAGAATTGCATGGCTGATCTGTTTGCCTTTTAAAGTCAACTTTCCTATGTACCTCAACAATCTCTGACTCCCTCATACAAAAAGTAATCTACCTCCACCTGAAATATATTCAATGACCTTGCTTCTGAGGCAGAGATTTCCAAAGTCACATAATCATTAAAAAAAATTTTTGATCTTTGTCCTAAAAGGGCAACCCTTAATTTTAAAACTGTGCCCTTAGTTCTAGACTCAATGAAAAAAGAGGGAAAATCTTCCAAAGACTCTAACTTTACAAACTCAGGCAATCTGGAGGTCTCACAACTCTACCGAAATGTATTCTCTTTGAACTTGGAACTCAATGCCTTCCTTCACAGTCTGAAGTTTGTAGGTCTCTAAACTGGAAGACCTTTAATCTCCTGGATTTCCTTCAGAGGATGCTTTCCTTGCTGAAATAAGTAAATCTTATTTTGCAGCATCCTCAATCTCCAAAACAGGCAATTTATTCCTTGTAGTATCTTGAATCGTTGGGACACTGGATTGTCCATTCTCAAAGCAGGCTTCTATAGAATTAAATGCACCATATCTTCAATCTGTGTCAGCAGATTTTTGTTCTCAATCAGTCTGGAGATGTGTGCCAAACTACACGGACTCTTTACTTCAACTTGTTGATGGGTTTGATATTCTTATTTGCCCTCAACAATTGTATTATTGGTGAAACCAACATATTACCTTCCCCAGTTCTATTACTTGAGATTTACTTCTTGCTGGGCATGATCTCTGTCACTATTACGGAGGATTCTTCCCAGAAACATAAGTTAATAAAATATTCTGCTTCAAACCAACAGTCTCTGCCATGTCAGGTCAGCATCTAATATCAGACTTGAACCTATCGTGACAATTCACCAAGATGTGTTGCACTCTGAATGACATTGATTAAATAAAGCCATGTCAGTTTAACACAACTGGGATACATGACTCACTGGCTAGCTCATGCTTCTGTGTCCTTGCAAACCTTGCTGATTCTTGTAGAATGAACTCTCTTCAGTATTATAGCCATGGAAAATATTCCTGCCAAACCAATACAGTCACAGGTTTCCACCTTGTTGATAATATTGTTCAGATTTCTTATAATAACATAGCTAATCTCAATGATTTCTATTTTCTGTTTGGGTTCCATCACGTCTAGGGAGTCCTATGAGATCTTCTACTAGCTGTCAGACAACCATCTGTTCCTTTTCATTAGCTAATTTAACTCTTTTTTCAAAAATTGATTGAAATCACACATTCATTTCCACTTAAGAGCGAGAATCTTGACTATGATGCACATACAAGTTTTCTACTATCTGGCATTCCTCATATTAGACAGTTGCTTGGGATATACCTGGACTTACCTAATGTTAACTGCTAAGCCTCATAGATCACATTGTTGTACTGCTGTCAGCTGTAGACAGTTTTTTTAACCATGGCTCACAATCCGACAACAGTGATGATCATCCCAGTGTCCAACTTAAAATTCGCTAGATCACCAACAACATGAACATCAACTTATCAAATCTAAGGTCTGAATCACCTATTTCCCCAAGAAAATTTAAGGTTTTCCTTCTACTGTAGACTGTTTTAACTCAAGCCTCTTTGTGCAGATATTATTTCTTGTTTTTATGAGACTGTACCCCACGTCAGCGCATTTTCTGAAAGTGACCAACTGCATAAAAAACGGCAGTTTTAATAGCTAGAAATTGTCTGTATCCAAGAGGCTTCTTTGAGCCACAGTGCTGACAGGGACTTTTAGTATCTGGTGCCTCCTACTCACCATACTAGTTTCTCAGCACTTTTTAAATGGTTTTTCCACTTTAAGAAATGAAAAGATTCTGCTGATATCCAATGCCAAGGTTGATCTTTTCCTCTTAGGATTGATGTGTGTTCATTCCAGACTTTTGCTTCACCCACCATGTGAACAGTTTTCTTTAGAGCCACATCTTGGGATTGTAAGATCTCTCTACTTCTTTAATGGTTTTTTCCTTGTGTGATTCCTGCTCCACATAATTTAACTAAATGCTTCTTGCCTTCAGTATAGTTCTAATGAAAGATCTGCTGCCCATTTTTGCAAACATCTCCTAGTTTTCCTCTTCCATTAGATCTGTGTGGTTAAGCTTCTAATCTTCCTGTGCCACTTTAATTTTGGCTTTGTGACATCAATTAACATTGTTTCTGGGATCCTCAATTTCCCTTGCTGTAGACACGCCTTAATTTCTCCTCATCATTTTATCTGAGCTGCAAGTACTTCACAGCATATTTTTACAAAAACATTTGTGGCTACAAGGAATTTCACATCGGCTCAGATTCCGATAACCTGTCTGATGGAAGGGATTGGAAGAGAGTATAACTGGGGTGGGAGGGATCTTTGATTATGTTGGCTGCTTTCCTGAGGCAGCAGGAAGTAAAGACAGAGGCAATGGATGGAAGGCTGGTTTGCATGATGGACTGGGCTGCATTCACAACAATAATTTCTTGGTCAGATGAATGAAGGTGCAGAGTATTTTTTAAAATGATGAGACATCGCAAAGTTTTGGTGTCCAATGAGACCTAGGTATTTTGGTTCATCAGACACAAAGTCAGCATATAGACGGCAGCAAACAAATCAGAAGACAAAATGGTATGAGTGAGGATTTGAGTACAGATTAAAGAAGAAGGACTTCAGTTGTGTAGAATATGGCGAGACCATGGAGTGTGCAGTTCTGTTTCTTTGCTCAGTGCAGGATAAATTTAGTAAAGAGGGAGTGCAGCGGAGGCTCACCAGTTTTATTCCTGGGATGGTGGGACTGTCCCATGAGGCGAGATTGAGGAATCTGGATGTGTTTTAAGAGAATAAGAAGTGATCTCATAGAAGCTTACAAAAATTCTTAAAGGGGTAGACAGAGTAGCAATCGTGGTAGCTATCATCTTGAAAAGTGGCTTTGATGTGCTTTATTTATCACAGATTATGCTAAGAATTTCAATGACAATCAATTGATGAGCAGAAGATGAAAACTTCATTAATAAAATATGCCTTTTTTCAGCAGTACTCATTATATTTCATCATACAACTCTAATTCAGGTCCAGTAGGACCTGGATGTTCATGTACAAAGATCTTTGAAAGTGACAGGACATATTGAAAGTAGTTAACAAAGCCTGTGGGATCTTGGGCTTCACAAGTCACCATAGTTATAGAGGACTACTCTCGTAAGAGAGATGATTGGTGATGAGTTTAGCCTGAGGGTCACCCGGTCTCAGAAAAGGGACAAGGTCAAGAAGGTAAAACCTTCTTGGTGATCTCAGCTAGTACGGAATTGAACCCATGCTGTTGGCATCAGTCTGCATTATAAAGCAGCCAGGCAGCTAACTGAGCTAGCCAAGCTCAGCATGGGCTTCAGAAACAGGGGTAGAAAGTACAAAAGCAGGTAAGCTACATTGAATCATTACAAATTTCTAGTTAGGCTACGTTGAGGGAAATGCTTTAATTTCTGGTTACGAACTTTAAGAAGGGTGCAAAGATCTAGGAGGATGCAGGTAAGATTTACCAGTTTGATTATAGATTAAGATGCTTGTAGTTCTTGGAGCAAAGAAAATTGAGGGAAATCTGACAGAGAAGCATAAAATTATAACATGAGGTTTAGACAAGATAAAACAAAATATTGTTCCCATTGGTTGATGGTACAAGGACTAGGGGACGCAGATTTAACAGTTTAGACAAGGGGTACAAAGAAAATGAAGAAAGAAAATTTTTATAAAGCAAATGGTAATAATTTGGAACGGTCTGTCTACAGCTTCGTAGTGGAAGTTCTGCAAGTTATGGCAGTTAACGAATTCAGAAGGAAATTCAATGGACACTTGAGAGCTACAGGGATAGAGAGGGGGGCTGAAACTTACGGATTTGCTCATGAGAGCTGGAATGGACTCAATGGGTGGGATGGTCTCCATCTGTACGGTTACCTTGAATCTACAATTCTTGGCTTCATTCTCAATGTATCACTGATCCTCTCCTTTAATATCATATCATATTAGAATCTCAGTCTTTTGGTTGCTTGGCTTCCTCCATTAAAATTGCAGCCTTCCAGATTATATAATGAAGTGCTCAAATAATATTGTTCAAATTTCTTATAAGTAGTTCTTATAAGTAAAGTACTCAAGAATAACTGAAGCTCTAAAGTTCTGCAATGATGTAATTCGGAGAGAGGAAATTGCCAAATTAGATACACTTATACCACCCGAACAATACATCCTTAATATCCGAAGATATTAATGATAATTGCACTGTTGTACAGTAGCAAATAGATATTTATTTCATGTAATGAAACTTTTAATCCTTAAACAAATTTGCAGATTATATGTTAAGACGAGTAAAATAGTAAGAGCTGGGTGTTTACAGCAGCTTTCCTTCAAACAAAATCCTTCACAAATTGCTTTCAATGCATGATCAATACAATGTAGGGAGATACAGCATGCAACCTGTCAGCAAAAGGAGATAAATGATCAACTAAAACACTTTAGTGGTGTTGGCTGAGGAATAAATGTTGACTAGCTCGTCAAGTTCTGCCTTAGAATGTGTTATAAAGCAGAGGTCAACACCTCACTGATAATTAAAACCGAAACCCCCCCAGAGAAGCTCGCTTCACCTCGTAATCTGTTAAAGGAAATGTGAAAAATGGCATAACCTGCCTCCCACCTCCCAATCAGTTATAAAGGAGAGGCAAAATAAAATAAACTCCTGACAGTCACTCTACAATGAACAAGTAACAACTTATTTATCTAACTCTAATAGTTAACAAAGTAGCAGAACTACTAACAAAGTGAACAATTCCCCGTTAACTACTAACTATTCTGAATAACAATTCTAATGGTATGCTGTTCCAATAGATACAAGATACTTTTGTGTGAACAAAAGTAATAAAAAGAATTTAAAAAATACTTAATCTCTAGAAATTACAGTCAGAATAAGTCTTCTGGAATGTTCTTGGCTTTCTTTGCCGTCCTCCAGTCAGGAACGCCTTTCTCCGTCGAATTCTTGTGTCATAAATATTAGCTAAGAGGCCTGCAGTACTTTTATTTAGATGGTGCTTACTCAGAAAACTTAGAGATTTTTGAGACAGCCAGTGAGCTTCTCTTCAGACGGCAGTTCACTGTCACCCCAATTTTCAAATAACCTCTTCTTTTATACCCTTGATGACCTATCAATTTCTTATAACAGGATTGATCCTAGGTTGTCAAAACCATCAGATTTAAATTTAATTGGGTTTTGGTATCTAGGGCCTGATTTAAATTAATTGGCTAAATTTGAAAGCCTGTTGTCTTGGTAAAAATGCTGCTTCGCCTACTAACTGTAAGGGCAGCATGGTGGCTCAGTGGTTAGCACTGCTGCCTCACAGCGCCAGGGGCCTGGGTTCAATTCCCCCTTGGGCAACTGTGTGGAGTTTGCACATTCTCCCCGTGTCTGCATGGGTTTCTTCCGGGTGCTCTGGTTGCCTCCCACAGTCCAAAGATGTGCATGCTAGGTGGATTGGCCATGTTAAATTTCCCACAGTGTTCAGGGATGTGTAGATTAGGTGGGTCTGGGAAATGGATCTGGGTGGGATGCTCCGAGGGTTGGTGTGGATTCGTTGGGCCGAAGGGACTGTTTCCACACTGTAGGGATTCTATGGAAAGTATAGCCTTTTGATAAAATGTTTCAATTTCAAGAACTCGGTGCATCTGTTGCTGCCTGCGGACTTTTTTTTTAAAAAAAGTCACCAAGCTTAAAGAAACACATCATCTTTTAAAGGGACCATGCAGTCTACCTCCCCACCTACTCCGCCCCATCATTTTACAAACATCAAATTCTAATGTCCTGCCTTCCAATCCACAAATACTCTACCCAACTTCGCAACATACGTTATATATGGCCTTTCAGACAGATGTATCATTGAAAAGACAACATTTCTGACAACGCAGCTACTCCCACTGCACTGAAATATCACCGAGATTACATGCTCAAGTTCTGAAGCATGGTTTGAACCCAGAACTTTATAAATTGAGGAGGGAGTGTACAACCAGAGCAAGGGCTGAAAGATAACATCTAAAATTTGTTCACATTTTGGAAGTACATATTTGCACTCATTGAACATTCAAGCGGCGAGCATTTTAAATTTTTTTTTTTTAAGCTGCCCATTAAACGATTGAGCAAAGAGTCCTCTTGAGCCTACTTCACCATTCAGTCACATTTTGGTTAGATATCTGAACAGTCCCAACAGGAACGCAGATCCTGCACAATGCTTGGTGATACCAGCAGTAAGATTGCCTGAAGTGCCTGTTAATGCTTACAAACCCTCATGGTTCCCATGAGTCTTTCTTGGAACACAAAGCCATTCAGTCCATTTGGCTATGTGTCAGGTCTTTAAAATAACAGCACGCAGTTCGTTCAATTCCAAATTTTTGCATATTCTGGAAGTGAACATCCTTGCTATGACATCTTATCAGTCAGCTAGATGTTGGTTCTGGTCAATTGTTGAGATGTTCAACTACTACAGACCATACTCCAGCAAAATTAAATGTATCCAGGTGTGTGAAAGAGGAATAAAAAAAATAGTGCAGTCAAAAGTATTTTTGCCTCAAATCATTCAGATCTCTTTAGTTCAGGGCTGGACAGCTTAAGCCTATTATGCAGAGGAGAAATGCCTTATCAATAAATTCTGACTGTTTCCGTCTATATTTTCCACAGATAAAACGCATAGAAACTTATTGAGGTTGGTTGGCTTGCCGAGCTGGTTTGTTGTTCCACAGACGTTTCGTTACCGTGCTGGGTAACATCCTCAGTGCAGCACTGAGGATGTTACCCAGCACAGTAACGAAATGTCTGCAGAACAACAAACCAGCTCAGCGAGCCGATCAACATCAACACCCACAACCCGAGCTACAGATCTGCTCCAAAACCGCATGGAAACATAATGATGCTGTAACTCTAAGCTAACAAGCTGTTCAAACAGAGCATATGTACATACCATGGAATATACATCCAGCGTACAATCGTTAAGAAATGGTCTAGGGTCGAATTTATGTGCTCCCATAGAGGTTTTCTGGTAATTCCACGTTGTGCTGATTAGATACCCTTGATGGCAGGCAACAATTCCATCCCAATAACTCTGACGTGCTGTTTCTACCATAACAAAATCAAAAGTAGATTCATCACCAACATGATAGAAACAGAAACAGAAACAGAAACATTCACAGCAACAAATACATGGAGATAAATTAGAACATAAATCTATAGTTAAGTTTAAAGAAATATTAAAATATTCAAATATTTAAATTATGGTGAAAATGCAGGAGATTGGCACCAGATAATAGAACCAGTGCAGGCACAACTGTCTGATTGGACTTTTTCTGCACAGTAACAATTTTGTGATTCACAGTTAGCATGGCTTTATGGGGGGGAAATAATGCTTGATAAGTTTACTAGAATTCTTTAACAAGCAAGATGGAAAAAGAGGAAACAGTGGATCTAATATATTTGGATTTTCAGAAGGTGTTAGATAAGGTACCACACATTATCATAACTATCAGATTACTTAACAAGAGCCCATGGTCTTAGAGGTAGTATACACTCATTGCATTACATTGAAGGCAGAGAGTTTAGTTAAATGGGCATTTTCAGAATAGCAACCTGTAACTAGTGGAGTGCCACAAAGATCTGTTTTGGGGCCACTATTATTTACAATATATTACGTATGTCCAGGATGAAGAACATAAATGTATTGTAACCAAGTTTTCATATGACACAAAATAGGTGGGAAGGAAAGTGCTGAGAAATGTTTAGAAAGCTTTTAGAAGAATGTACATAGGTTAAATGAGTGGGCAAAAGACTTGACAGATGGAAAATAATGTGGGAAATTGTGAACTTGCACACTTTGACATGAAAAGTAGAGGAGCTTAAATCAGTAATGGAATCAAGGGTTATTGGAAAAAGGCAGAAAAAGTGGATTTTAGGTTTATAAGATAAGCCATGATCTCACTGAATGGCGGAGGGAACTTGATGGGCTGAATGACTTACTTCTACTCTTACACTGTATCGTCTACAATCTAATGCTAAAGTGGAAAAGTAGAATTGGCGCAGATATACCATTACCTGAAGCAAATGTAGTAATAGGTGGTAGCTTCCTGGTGTCATATCTCAAACCTTTCTTTTTGGACTTCTTTTTATTAATTGAACCTTGAAACAAAAAAAATATACACCTGATTACAGAAACACCACGTTTGTACATACTTCTATAGAAAGGAGTAAGGAGTACAATTTTAGGTATTATATTTAATAAATCAAATAAGCATATGTATTTATTATTCTGCTGTAATAAGCCATTCTTCCTTCCATTACTTAACTTATGTTTTTTGTGCCATTCCCTGGTCAATGAGAGCGTCATTGACTTCCGTGAAGGTCTTTGCTAATAAACCACGAGAGAACATAGATGAGGAAAGCCATAAAGTCCATCCTGAAAGCACCATCTAGTTTTTTTTAAATAAAGGATTTTTGCTTCCATTGGCTCACTGAAGATCTATTCCACATATTGACTCAGAGGTAGATTTCCAACATTAATGCCAAAGTTACCTTTTGCGAGGTAAACCTTCTGCCCTAATCACAATTCAATTTGAACTAGTACTTTCAGAATAAAGTTTTCTTCAATGAGTATAACTCTATCCTGCGGTGGAGAGGCTCACATCCAATTTAGGTATCTTCATGTACCTAACACAATTTCAAAACAGTGGGATCAAATAAAGTCAGCTGTCACAGATACTGGTGCTCAGACTTAAGATCAGAAAGTGGTGGAGAAATGCAGCAGATTCTGGTGGCAACTGTGAAGAGTCTACACGACACTTCTTCAGAACTGAGAGGCGCTATAAAATAGTGGTTTACTGTAGTGAGTTCTGAACTGTACAATCAGTGACACACAAGAGTGCTAGAGACATTCTACCAGCAATACATGAACTGCATTCTCTGGATTTAATGAATGTCACATCCTTCTTGAAGGTAGTTTTCAAGCATTCAGGCAAAATTTCTGCAAAGTCAACTACAATGGACAGAACATCCTGTCCCAATACTGAAAAGTTTCTCCTCCGCCAAATCCTGTTTACTCAAGTCTCAAACAGCAGACATTCCAAATGAGGAAAGAGAAACATTACAAAGGCAGTCTAAAGCTCTCCCTGAAGCATGACAACACTGAAATGAATAAAGATTATCAAATGCTTTAATTGTATAACAATGCCCATTCATTATGCTGTCAAAACTATACCAATTTTGAAACCCTTATCAAACCCTGCCTGTTATCACGCAGTATGCAAAACAACTGCAGCAAAATAAAAATTGCAGAAGGTTATATCAGTTCACCTTTTAAAAGGACTATAAGGCAGTCTTTGAAAGTTTTCTTTAGCTGGTCTCCAAAAAGTCAGTTCATAGGCAAAGAAATTTGAAATCTCATTAAGTTCCAAGTACTAGTGGGACATACACATGACTTGCTGAATAGTCTTTTATCTCAAAAGGAACTCAACAAATTCATCCAGATTCTGACTTCAGTCATGTGAGCTCACTTGAACTTAAACAGGAGATTCGAAGAAGTCCATTCCTCACTGGACTCATACAAAATGGTGAACTGCTAGGTACACTGTTTGGTTTCAGTATTTGGTAAAAATGTACTCTTCTCTGTAATTTTACCTTTTAGGTGTTTGAAGTGTGTTGAAGTAGCAGCAACAGATGTTTCTGGTGTGTGTGTAAAGAGAATTAATAACCTTTGTCTACGTCCACAAAAGATTACTGCTGGTGACTTTGACCACATACTAACTCGGGAACATATATTACCCTAATTAAAAAATTATACTACACCATTTACAGAGAAAAGGGAAGGGAATTGAGAGTTTCAATATCTCTCTCTTCCCCTTCCTGTGACCTAAAGATGGTCCAACCTTTCACACAACTTGGGTCTACCAATGCTACTAAAACAGACTTGCGACTGTTCTCTACCTTGAAGGGCCAAACATTTTTATAGTGCCACAGTTAACTGAACTGATAGTCATCAAAACATAGTCTAAAATACAATACAGTTTGAGCACACACTCCTCTAACTTCTATTTTATTGTGGTTTTGGATATGTAATTAAGCATATTTGCTTTACCATTTCAGCTTTCCAGTGATTGCACTCAAGGTGTCCAATCTGTCAAAACTCTAGACCTCTTCATTCAAGAAGCACATATGAGTATTGTCCTTGATACTGCACTATGCAATGAATGCAAGTCTCATTAACATTGTTGCTCATTAACACTGTCAGTTAATGAGGTCTGTATGCCCGCTCAAACATAAAAAATAAGGGGAGGAGCAGGCGATTCAGCTCTGAGCCTCCTCTATTACTCAATACAATCATTGCTGATCAAACAACTTCGCATCCTGTTCCTGCTTTCCCCTCATACCCTTTGATCATTTAGCACCAAGAACTAAATCCATTTCATAGATCATAGAATCCCTCCAGTGTGGAAGCAAGCCATTCGGCCCATCAAGTCCACACCACCCCTCCAAATAGCACCCCTATACCTGCATTTCCCACCTTAGACACTATGGGCATTTTAGTATAGCTAATCCACCTAACCTGCACATCTTTGGACGAAGAGGGGAAACCAGAGCACCCAGAAGAAACCCACTTCCTTCTCGAAAACATTCAATGTTTTGCTGAACAATTTTCTGTGACAGAGAAATCCACAGACTCACCACTCTTTGGGTGAAGAAATTTAGCATCACAACACCTACTTTAAAGTTGCTTCTCATTTGTCTGACATAGGGTCACATGGAATGCCCTTTGTGCTCCCGGACTCAACTTCTTGTTCTACAAAATCTCTCAATCGTCAATTCCCTCTCCTGAACCAGAGCTCCTACAAAGTTGGAGATCTGGGTCGTGAAAGTGCAGACCATGATGGTGCACAACAGTCAATCTGGTGCTGTTTTAACTAATATTTTTAAATGCTCCAATTAGCTGCTTCCCTGTCTGGAATCCTTCATGCAACAGCTCTAGAGATGAGCGATGGCAAGCAAGAGGAACAGCGCTGCTGCCCATGGTTTGCCTCAAAGAGCCTTTACTAACCAAGTTTAAGACAGCCTGGTTGAGCCGCCACTTTGATATCCCCCACAGTATCTTCTTGAAGGTTGACACTAAAGTTCATTCAAGAGCAGAGGTAAATAGACTGTTAGTAAGTAATCCACCACTCTTCCACATAAGACAAAAAATTAATAAATTGGGTGGGGTCAGGAGGACCAAGTTCTTGAGACCAGTTTGAAACGTAGCTCAAACTCTGAAAGCTGTTCACCCTGCCTTTTCACCATTCTTCTCCAGAGCACTCACTCACAGCCCCGGTTCAGGAGAAGAAACAGGCAGGTGGATACATTTTTAAAATTTATCGATTACAACCTTAACTCTTTTGCACCACCCGGACCTTTACTTTCACAACCTTACAGCCCCAGAATTGGATTTTGAACTGGAATGCAAGTTCATGAGAGATAAGTGGCAAGCAGGAGAATTGGAGAATAGGAGGTTTAGCAAAGGGAAAAATCAGTGACAGGGTGAGTCAGGGAGCAGCAGAGGCCAGGGGTTGGAGGGTCAGCAGCAAGAGAATTGGTTAGAGAATAAGACAGGCCCCAAACCAGAGGGTCAGCATGAAGGAGGGCAGTCAGAAAACAGGATGTGTGATGAGCAGGTAATTTGGGAAGGAGGGATCAAAAGTGAGCAGGATGTACCATAAGTAGAAACTGGTCATATTTCTTTAAAAAATAATTGTAAAAAAAAGTTATTTCATTTACCAAATTGGAATTTAGTAATATAATGTAATTGATCTTGATGCACATTTTCTTCTGAAAGGCCCTACAGAATCTTAACTACTCCATGCACAATGGGTTCAATGGGAAAATGTGATTTACTTCAAAGTTATTTCACTTAAAGTTGTAATTTCCAGGAGCACAGTTTTAAGGGAGAACCTAGTGACACACAAGTTACACTTTGATTTATTCACGTTTTATGTTTTTGATTGGTCAAGATTTCATCAGCATTTAGGCATGCTTCCAAATTGTGTAGTATTTTACAGTTCATGCATCATCAGCCACAATAGCATTAAATTTCACCCACTACACTTTTTAATATTTGTTCACGGAATGTGGACATCGCTAGTTAGGCCAGCAGTTATTGGCTAGTTTCAGTTACCCTTAAGGAGGTTATATGAACTGCCTTCTTGAACTACTGCAATCCATATGGTGTAGTTACACCCACACTGTTGTTCAGAATGGAATTACAGGAGTTTGATCCAATGACTATGAAGGAGTGGCAACTGGTTCCAAATCAGGATGGTGAATGATTTAGAAAGGAAGTCGCAGGGTAGTGGTGCTTCAATGAAACTGCTGCCCTGTTCTTTGTAATGCGCTGGTGAAGAAACTGTAGTGAATTACTGCAGGGCATATTACTGATGGTACACATTGCTGCCACTGTGATGGTGACGAAAGGGGTGAATGATGAAGGTGGCAGATGGGGGATAAATGAATAGGCTGCTTTATCTTGCTTGTCATTAAAATTTGAATTTTGTTACAGCAGCACTCATTGGGCACGAGGGAAGCGTTCTATCATATTATTGAATTCAGTCTGAGTGGATAAATGCTGGGGAGTCAGGAGACAAATTCCAGCTCTGACCTGCTCTTCTAGCCACAGGATTTATACAGCTCGATCAGTTCAATTTCTAGTTAGTGGTAGCTCCCGGGATGTTGATAACCAGATTCAGTAATGGTAATGCCTTAATGTCAGAGAGAGATATTTAGATTCTGTCTCTTGTTGGAGACAGTCATTGCTTGGAACTTGTGTGGTGCAATTGTCCAAGCCTGGATATGATCTACATCATCTTATATGGACATAAATTTCTTCAGTGTCTGAGGAGCTGCAAACTGAATACTGTCAAATAGCAGCTAATATCCCTACTTCTGACCTTATTCTGGAAGAGAGGCCATTGATAAAACATCTGGAAACTGTTGGTATGAGCGTACTACCATGAACAAAACACTGTAGTAATATCCTGAGCCCGAGATGATTGACCTCCAAACACAAGCAGGTAGGTTGTTGGAGGTCAATAAGTTGTAGGTTGTAGTGCTAGATATCAATCCCACCAGTGACAGCATTCACCCGATTTCAATTAATTTCAGTTTTGCTGGGGGTCGTCAACACTATTCCCACTCTAATGCTGCCTTGATGCTGTGGGCAGTCATCCTCACCTCTTGTATTCAGCTCTTTCGTCCATGTTTGGACCAGGTATTGAGTGACCCTGGCGAAAGCCAAACTAAACTAACATACATGGGCAATTCATTGCTGAGCATGAGCTGATTCTCAGCATTGCTGGTTTCTCCTTCAATCGTTTTACTGACAATCAAGAGTTGACAGGTTGGAAATTGACGAGATCGGGTTTATCCTGCATTTTTGCACAGCACAAAGCTGGACAATTTGCCATATTGCTGGGTAGATGCTAGTTTTGTGGCTATTCTGGGACAGTTTAGCTGGTGGCCCAGTTAATTCTAGAGCATACATCCTCAGTACTATTGGCAGAATGCTTTCAACGTGCAAGAGCTTTGTAGTGTCAGCGCATCAGTGTTTCTTGGTATTACATGAATGAATGGAATTGGCTGTATCTGTGATCATGGGAAGCTCTGGAGGAGGCACATTCCTTGGCATATCAGGCTGAAGATGGTTGGAAATGTTTCAGCCTCATCTTTTGCACTGATGTGCTGGGCTACCCTATCTATGAAGATTTCACTAGACATCAAACACCACCATTCCGAAAGTCATCCAAAAATTAAAGATTTTTAAAAATAAATAGAGATTCTTCAAATTACATACATTTAAACCCAGTTATACAACCTTATCCAATCTGAGCATTTCTTAGAACTTTAAACTTATTCCAAAATTTTCACATAGGTCAATGCATTTGCAATTACGTTATCTTTAACAGCAACATGAATAGCTCTTTATATTAAACAGTTGCAACAAAAGACTCCAAATAATCTCACATTCCAAGTTTTAATTCTCAATGAAAGCTAATGGCTTATGATCAGTGTAAATTAGCATTTCCTTGTTATTATGTTGAGCACAGGCTTCAAAGTGTTGAAGAGCTAACAACAAAATCCCAAAGTCTTTTTGTCCCCCATGGTATTGTACTGCTTCTTCTGATACTGTTTAATTTCTTAGAGAACTATTTCACTGGCCTCTCTATTCCCAACTCATCATTCTGTAAAAAGACTGTCCCATCCCTAAGTCACTATTAATAGCTGTCACTTCGATGTTCAGGAAAAAAATTGGACGGTGGGGGGGGGCAGGGTAACAGCATTGGTTCATTGTTTAAGATTGTCTTCAGTGTCTCAAAGGTTACTTGACATTATGCTGACCGTACCATTTTTGCATGTTTCTTTAACAAATTCTTTAAAAAGGTACAACTATCTTACAGAAATGCGGACAAATTTGAAGTAAAATAATGATTTCTCGTTTAATTTTAGGAACAGGAATTTCATTTCAGTCTTCACTTTCACTGCCCTTGATAATACTTTTCCAATAATATGTCCTAGGTAAGTTACTCTTGCTTTTCCAAATATCACTAAGTCAGCTATTGTAATTGCTTAAAACAGAGCATCTACTGTCTCATATGCTCTTCTCACGTGCTACTATATGCTACATTATGTAAATAAATTACATAGTTACAAATTTGAGCTACAACTTGAATCATGTCCTGGAGTGCTCTTTAGCCCACATGGCATCATAAAACATTGGTATGCCATTCGCTGTAACAAAAACAAATTTTTTTTAGTCCTTGATGTTAACAGACTTTCCAATACCCCTTCAGTAGATCAATCTTACATAGAAATGAGACACCACTAACCGTATCAATACGGTCTTTGAATCGGGGAACTGGTCTGAATCTGTCTTCACGACTGCATTTATCCAGTTTGGGAACTAACATTATCGGTGACCTTCAGCTGTTTTGTTTAAGTTCAGTGAAGCGATTTCCAGCAGGTACGGTGTCTGTTTCCATCTGAACTTGTACGTCTGGGCTCAACCAATAAGTGTGCTGTTTTATTAGTCCTGACTTTCCTACGTCCACATCACGACTAGCTCATAATACCAGGGGAGGCGATGGCCATTGGTATTATCACTAGATTATTAATTCAGAGACCCAGGTACTGTTCCTGGGACCTGGTTTCAAATGCCACCATGGAATTTGAATTCAATAAAAATCTGGAATTAAGAGTCTAATGATGACTGCGAATTATTGTCGATTGTTGGAAAAAAACCTATCTGGTTCACTAACATCCTTTAGGGAAGGAACTGCCATCCTTTCTTGGTCTAGCCACATTTGACTCCAGACATGGACTGGTCGGACCAAAGGGTCTGTTTCTGTGCTTTATGACTCTGACTCTTGCCCAACGACTCTGCCAAACAAAAACTCCTAAACACATTTTAGGCATGTTCCAAGGCACTTGATGTATTAGTACATCAAATGTGGCACCAAGGCACACAAGAGAAGTTATGACAAGTGGTCAAAATGATTTGTAATAAAGCGCTTTATTGAGAAGAAACAGCTGGAGAGATTTAGAACAGAAATTTCAGCATTTAGGATCTACACTCCTAGATTTGAGTTTTGTTTGTATCTGCCTTTTGAACTGAACTATATTCAGAACCTACTTGGTGAAAGTGCACCACCAATTCCTGGGGCCACCACAGAAGCTTAAGATTTAGTCAGAATATACAAAGTTTCCAATTTACCTGTCCTTTGAAATCAGACCTATGATAAACACTGATGAGGTGGTTCCATACTTAATAAGAACTAGAATTTATTCCAAATAAATAAATACAAACTACAGGAAAAAGAAACCATAATTATTTATACACAGCTCTACTCATTGAAACTATACTCTCTTTTAAAACCACTTATGATCAGGAAAAAAACTAGGAAACACATTTCAATAGCACATGTTCCTTTTGCTTAAGGCTTTCTGTTCTGATAACCTTCCTGGATTCTTTCACTTCTTTTCAAGAAGCACAGGGCTACTGACACACTGATTACAAAGCTGATTAGTTATAGGTTAAAAACAACATCTTATATCAGCTATCAGGAGAAAATACCTGGCTTTCTTCATCCTTTAGTTACTTTTACCCATACAGGTAAAAAGACAGACCCTGCTTCTTCCAGTCCAGAGGCCTTCCACCTCTATTATTCACACACACCAGCCTTTTGATTACCCAGGAATCAGTCAAAGAGTTGTCATAAGGCTGATGGCCTCTGGCACCCATCACTGATCAAAACTGTACAAACCAATCTGTTGCTACACAGATCTTAATCTGTGCACATCCTACTGCTGGGCCGGCTTATCTCTCCTCCACCCCCACCACTTGAAGAAAGCAGCAGCGTAAATGAAACTCTCAAATAACAAACTTTTTTTTTTAAAAAAGAAAGTGCAGCAATTCCTTCCATGGCCCTAGTCCATAAAAATAAAGAAAAATTTAAAAATGCAGTCTTTTCAGAGAAGACATTTAAAAGAATGGCATTATATTTTTTTCCCTCCTTTGCAGACAGAATCTGCATGTCACACCTTCACAACTGAAAAGTAATTTTCATTCTCCCACAAGAGGGAATATTATTTCCCCACCCTGTCAAAATCCCGCAGGATCATCTGTGTTTCAATCAAATTGTCCCAGAAGATCAAGCACGCCTAGACTGTTCAACCATTTCCTCATAAGACGACCCACCTTACCAAGGGAGATAGCAAGAACTGCAGATGCTGGAGTCGGAGATAACAAATTGTGGAGCTGGAGGAACACAGCAAGCCAGGCAGCAGAGGAACAGGGAAGCAGACATTTTGGGTCGGGACCCTTCTTCTCTCACCACCTTTTCAAGTATTAGGAAACCTTCTCTGAACTGCTTCAAATACATTTACATGTCTCCTTATTTAAGGAGACTAATACCGTACACGGTACTCCACATGTGATCTCACCCATGCCCTCGATTGCAGTATAATCTCCCTACCTTTGTATTCAATTCCCCTCACAATAAACTATAACAACATTCTCTTAGCTTGCTGCACCAAATACTACCTGTTTGTAATTCATGCACAAGAACCCTAAGATTCCTCTGCATCTCATCTCTGGAACCTCTCACCATTTAGATAATATTACCTTTATCAAGCAATGTTTAAAGTAATTGCAGACAAATATTTTGAATGCATTAAAAATAGAAATACTTTTGTTACTATTTGATTAATTGGCTGCACATTTCAAAAGATCTATTTCAATTATATCGAAAAAAGATAACTAACACATTTATCATGCTTGTCAACTAAACTTACCATGTCCTAAACTCTTATTAAAACGTTCATGAATAGTGGAAAATGACTGCAAAGTTCCATCACGCCCTGTATGAAAAGAAACAAATATGAAGAAATGAATGAAGTCCATATAGAAAAACCTGAATAAAAAAAGGAATAGCACAAAAGTACAGATATGCAGCATATTTGAATTATACAATTCACAGACATGAAAATTACTAAGGTGGTAAATTGTGAAGAGAATTGCCATAAACTACAGGAAGACATCAACTGAAGAGTCGGGTGTGCACTGCAGTAGCAAATGAAATTGAACCCAGAAAAGAGAGGTAATGTGCATGGAGAAGGCTAACAAGGCAAGGGATTATACTCTAAATGGTAGAAACCTGGAAAGTGATAAAGACTAGAAGGGCATGGCACATCCAGAGATCCCTGAAGGTAAAAGGACAGGTAGATAGGGTGGGTAAGAAGGTATTTGGGATACTTGCCTTTATTAGCTAATATACAGAATACAAGAGCAGAATGTTAAGCTATAGTTATATGAAGGGCTAGTCAGGCCAAACTGGAGTACTGCATACAGTTCCAGCCATTGCGTTAGAGGAAGAAGTTGATTCCACTAGATAGGGTGCAGAGGAGATACATCAGATGCCTGGGCTGGAGGGTCTGAGCTATGAGGAAATATTTTTCAAATTGATTGGAGTTGTTATTACTTGAGGCAGAGAAATTTGACAGGGTACCTAATAAAAGTACCTGATAAAATTATGAGGGGCATAGGTAGGAAGGTACTTTTGATAACCAGGAACTTCTCCAGTTCTTGGACCTGAAACATTAACTCTGACTTCTGTTTACAGATGCTGCCAGACTGATGAGCTTTTCCAGCAATTTCTACTTTTGTTTTTGGTTGTGGTTGTAACCCCAGAGCTGCTTTGATTCATCTTTCTACATCACCCGGGGAAGGAAGTCAGACTCCAAAATTGTGTCAAGGTGTGTAGAAAGGGCAACAGTAGGGTGTCGAATCATAGAATCGTTACAGTGCAGATACAGGCCATTTGGTCCATTAAGTCTGCACCAACCCTCCAAACAGCAACTCATCCAGACCCATTCCCCCACCCGATCCCCATAATCCCACCTAGGCTAATCTACCTAGCCTGCACAGCTCTGGACACTATGGGGCAATTTAGCATGGCCAATCCACCTAACATGCACATTGTTGAATTGTTGGAAAAAAAACCAGAGCACCTGCCAGAAACCCATGCGGACAGGGGGAGAACACACAAACTTCATACAGACAGTCATCCAAAGCTGGAATCAAACCCGGGTGCCCGGCGCTGTGAGGCAGCTGTGGCTATGCCACTGTGCCGCTCACACTTGAGGAGTTTGACATTGAGCTTTAGTCACGCCTGGCAAGTAGATTTACAATCTTTTGACTGGATCTATAGACTCAACGTGGTAGGAAACAGGGGCTGGTCTAACCAGCATTCAGTTTTGTCAAGGAAAGGTCCATGTTTAAATCATGTGTATTGCCAGGTTGCCTTGCATTTTCCTTTAGGTGGAACATGCAGAGAGTTGAGAGTGGGCGAAAACAAAAAGGTCTGAAAATTAGCAACCAAAGACAATAATATGTAAACATTTTTTTTGTAACAAGGAATCAAGTAATTAATGCACTTATGTTCTGTAGTGAAATGTAAATATTCCTAGGCCACTTCAAATGGGTGGAATTATTAGATTTCAAGTGGGTCATAACATTAGGTTTCCATTGTTGTATTCTATTTCTGTCAAGACTGCACCCAATACATTTGCATCAAATCACTAAGTGACCTCAGTATTTCAGATCCAATGTAGTTAGTGCTGTAACAAAGGATGAAATCCAAAGTATTTTTTAAAAAAATGACCTTGTTGGATTATGCACAAGTACAACCAAGCACAGAAGTACAGCAGTGCTTCTATTTTGCAGAATGATGGGTTTCAACTCCCCACCACTTTCTCATGGCTAATTAGGGACGGCCAACAAATACCGGCCTTGCCATCAACGCTCATATCCCATTAAGAAATATATTCCAAAAGCTCTCTTAAAATTGTGGCCGGTGGTGAGGGAACCAAAAAGAGGGAAATACATACTTGACCTCATCCATACCAATCTGCCAGCTGCAGATGCATCTGTCCATGACAGTATTAGTAAGAGTGAGCACAACACAGCCTTTTAAGATACAAAGTCCTGTCTTCACATTGAGAATACCTTCTATCGTGTTGTGGGCACTATCATTCTAAATGGGACATACTTCAAACAGATCGAGCAAGTTAAGATAGGGCATCCATGAAGCACAGTGGGCCAACAGCAACAAAATTCTACTCCGTGCACAGTGTGCAACCTCATGGCCTGGCAGATCCCCTACTTAATCATTACTATTAAGCCAGGGGATCAATCCTGGTACAAATGGAGAGTGTCGGAGCAGCACCAGGCATATCTAAAAATTAGGTGTTAACCTGGTGAAACAATCAAACAGGATTACTTACATGCCAAACAGCATAAGCAGCAAGTGATAGACAGAGCCAAGCAAACCCAAAATCATTGGATCAGATCTAAGCTCTGCAGTCCTGCCACATATAGTCATGAAGATTTCGCAGCACTTCTGGCTAAAGAATGATGAGTAGATAATTCATCTCTACCTTTTCCATTAGTCCCCAGCATCACAGATGCCAGTCTTCAGCCAATTCGATTCATTCTATATGATATCAAGAAACAGTTGGAGGCAATGGAATCTGCAAAGACTATGGGCCCAGACAACCTTCCAACAATAGTACTGAAGACTTAAGTTCCAGAACTTTCTGCTCCCATAGCCAAACTCTTCCAGTACCTCTACAACACCAGCATTTACACGACAACGTGGAAAACTGCCCAGCGTTGCAGCGTCAAAATCCTGGCATTCCCTCCGTAAAAGTGGGTCAATCCCTACAGCATGTGGATTATAACATTTGAAGAAGGCAGTTCACCACCATTTTCTCAAGGACAACTTGGGATGGCAATAAATGCTGGCAGTCAGCAATGCCCATGTCCCACAAGTGAATCCAAAAATAAACAAGAAACTGTACATAATGAAGCAGTCCAGTAACCTATACTTAAGTTATTTAAGTTCAACACGTTACATAAATGAAGATGCGTTTTTGAAGTACCATGTAAAAATATTATTAACGTGATCAAGTAGGTTTCAGCCACATTCCCCATAGTTCCTAGAGACTGAAGACGCTCTCTTAAATACTGCACTCCCTCCCACCCCACAGTCCTCTTCTCCTACCTTACTGAAAAGCAACTCTTCTAAAAACACCTAAAAATGAGGTGGCAACCTGGTGAAGCCACCAAACAGGACTACTTGTGTGCCAAACTGCGTAAGCAGCAAGTGATAGACAAAGCTAAGATATTCCACAACCAAAAAGTCAGATCTAAGCTCTGCGGTCCTGCCACATCCAGTCATGAATGATAGTGAACAATTAAACAACTCACTGTTGGAGGTGGCTCTACAAATATCCCCATTCTCAATGATGGAGGCCCAGGATGGACATGTCGTCCAAGGAGTGGGAGGGGGAGTTGAAATGGTTTGCGACTGGGAGGTGTAGTTGTTTGTTGCAAACCGAGCGTAGGTGTTCCACAAAGCGGTCCCCAAGCTCCCCGGAGGCTTCAAAATCTCCCCTCCCCGACCACATCCCAAAACCAGTCCAGCTCGTCCCCGCCTCTCTAACCATTCCTCCCACCTCAAGCCCCACCCCCATCTCCTACCCACTAACCTCATCTCGCCTCCTTGACCTGTCCGTCCTCCCCGGACTGACTTACCCCCTCCCTAACTCCCCACCTACATTCACCTTTACTGGCTCCAACCCCGCCTCTTTGACCTGTCTGTTTTCTCTCCACCTATCTTCTCCTTTATCCATCTTCTATCCGCCTCTCCCTCTCCCTATTTATTTCAGAATCCCCTTCCCTGCCCCCATTACTGAAGAAGGGTCTCGACCCGAAACGTCAGCTTTCCTGCTCAGCCTGTTGTGTTCATCCAGCTCTACACCTTGTTATCTCACATCCTTTTTAACACAGCTTTGGAGGAATCTTGAGATCAAATTGTGTGACTGTTGCAGATGTTCCTAGTAAGAGAAACATACAGCACTACTTTTTAAATTTGTTATAGTATGGCGATAGTCTGCTGTTCAGCATCTTTGCATACAGATTTTACCACTGACTACAGACAGCAGTGAACTCTTAGACCTTTCATGCTCATTTGTTGAATATTGTTCTATTTGGAAACTATTTGGAAAAATAAAGAACACATTGGCAGAAGTGTGCCTAATTGTCCAATGGCATGGAGTCAAAAGATATTTCATAATAAATGTGCAACATTGATGATATGGATGTGTGCAGAATGATGTTAGGTAACAAACATTAATTAATTTCACAGCTGCAAAAACAGAAATTGTTGGAGAAACTCAGGAAATCTGGCATCATCTGTGGAGAAAATGCAGAGTTAATGCTTCGAGTTCAGTGACCCTTAGTCATAACTCTGCTTTCTCTCCAGATGTTGCCACACCTGCTGAATTTTTCTAGTAATTTCTGCTTTTGCTTCAGATTTCCAGTACCCGCAGTTCTTTGTTTCAATTAAGTTAACAGCATTTGCTTTCAGGGCATATTCAGCAGTTTCATTTTTGTTACATTTCAGTGATGTTTAATCTAAACAAACCAAGGAACCTGTCAACAAAGTGAAGATTTATTACTATATAATCAAATAACTGAAGACTAAGCAATAACATGCAAGAAATATCTATTCTTACCAGAGCTAAGAATATTTTGTCCATCAGATCCATGATATTTTAATTTAGTCGGAGGGGCACTGTGACCCATACGGCAACGTAAAAGTCGACCTCCACCTTCTGGAGCATCAAAAATCCAGACCTGGCCATGAAATGGAATACATTTATAGTCATTTCAAAACAGATGTAGGATTAGTCAGGAAATCAACATTCGTGATTCATTTAGTTTAGTTATAATTAAAGCATATTCATTGATTTATCTAATATATTATTCTGCTTAACTGTAACCAATGTTGAATTTAGTATTTTAATGTCACGTGACTCTGCTTTACCTCACTTGACAAAGACCAGTTACAGGATTAAATGCCGAGGGGCCCCTGTTCAGCTTATTTTGATTCCATGATTGTGACAACATGCAAACCTTAAGATCAAATAAGGTGAGGTAACATCCACCCAGCTCAATAACAGCTCAGGTAACAAAGAATGTAGGGAGGGATTGAAAACGATCCATGATTATGACTGTGCTCGACACTGGTCTTATTTTGTTGGTTTCAGAAGAAAGGAAACTAAATTTAAATCTATTAGAGTTAACTTTGTAACAATGTTTATTTAACTTTTTAACTTTCAATTTATCCTTTAGACTTACATGACTCAAGATTGTGTTATTACTGAGTGCCTAAGAATATTTCATTACTTCACCATTTTTGTATGCTTTAACTATTTGTTTAAGTAAGTACTTTATGATTTTGTGTATTAGTTTTACATCATAAGAACTTTGTAAACTGTATCATTGGCAGCATGGTGGCTCAGTGGTTAACACTGCTGCTTCACAGCGCCAGGTTTGATTCCACCCTCAGGCAACTGTCTGTATGGAATTTGCACTGTCTCCCGGTGTCTGCATGAGTTTCCTCCCACAGTCCAAAAATGTGCAGGTTAGGTGGATTGCCCATGGTGTCTAGGGATATGTAGACTAGGTAGATTACCATGGGAATTGCAGGGTTACAGCGATAGGATAGGGGGGTGGGTTTGGATAGGATGCTCTGAGGGTCGGTGTGGACTGCATGGGCCAAATGGCCTGTTGCCACACCGTAGGAGTTCTACGATTTTGTTCCAAAGTAATAAGAAATTCTTTCCATCCACTCAATTACAAAAACAAAATTAAATTAGCAAATGGCTTTAAGAAAAAATGAATGGTCAGTGTGATTTGTCTGATTTAATGGAAACCTCCAACAATTAAGCAAAAATTGAAACACTGAGCTCAAGAGAATCGATCATTGGGTCTTGATAGGACACGACACCTTTTTAAAGCGTAAAGAAAGTACCATAACCATTTTATGCCACCAAAAAACAAACAAAGAAGTAACCAGAACAAATCATAATGATAATGGATAATTGACAATTTAATGAATCAGTCAGTAGATACTGGGAAGTTAAGTCAGTAGATGACAATTACTTTGAAAGGAAACCAATCTAACATTGACCATGAACTGTTCGCGGGTCAGCTTGGCAGCTACGAGTCTGATCGTGCAACACCTGGATAAATCAGGTTTCCGAGGCTGTGGTTTGTTAATAAGGCCTGATTTTCAGATGTTGCATCTTCTTTCTTCTATCTTTCTGCATGCAAGAGACAACACCCCAGTCAACCAAGGATCAATACTGCATTGTGCAGCATCCAAGTTCACTGTGTCGTATAATTTCTGTTGTACTTGTTTATATCTATATATGTACTTATTTATTCAAAACAACTTAGCAATTGCGAAAACTATTTTTATTGCAATATCAAATCCAGATGGTCAATCTCAGAGAAACCATACTCCCACCTTAACTCTTTAATTACTTACTTCATCAATTCTTTCTAGTTTTCGTGGACTTCTTTTCAGTTCTGATGGCCTAAATCTCTTTTTACTTCCAACAATTTCAAAACTTTTTATTAACTCTCCCAGCTTGGAAACTTGACAAACTAAAATCCTTCTGCTGGGGTGAAACTGTTCTCCTAAGTTAAAACCCTGACACTCTGCTAGCATGAAACTTAAATCTAATTCTTCTAAATGGAACTCAAAGCTAACCTATCAGTGGCCTCTGATCATTTGTTTTTCCTGTGTGTCATAAACTCAGCAGCGTAAACATGTTAAAAACCAAAAGAACTGCAGATGCTGTAAATCAGGAACAAAAACAAAGTTGCTGGAAAAGCTCAGCAGGTCTGGCAGCATCTGCGAAGGAGAAAACAGAGTTAATGTTTCGGGTCCGGTGACCCTTCCTCAGAGTGTAAACATGTTATCAATTAATACAAGTAGCTAGTTTACTAAGTCACTTACTAAGACCAATACTTTCTTGGAAATCAGATAATTAAGTCACTTTTCCAAATGACTTTGAATTTTTTTTTTTAACAAGTTACTTTTAGAGAACTGAAACCAAAACCCATATGCCTTAAAATTTCCATTATACTAATACATATTATATACCTTTATTGCGTCCAGGATCAGGTTTTCCCATCTACCGCACACTTTTATAGATTTTGCCATTTCTCTGGTAAACTAAGATCACCCTAACAACTTCATTTGACTGCAACAGTTTTGGCTCTTGAATCAATTTTAACTGTTGGTGAAATCCAGTCTTTGGTCACAGATATCTTTGCTTTAAAGTCAGGCCAGATCATTGCTGAAATGCTTGCAACTAATCAGAAGGCTAATAGAATGTTATGCTTTATTAGAAGGGCAATTGAAAGAAACAGTAGGGAGGTTATGCTTCAGTTTTGTACAGCATTGGTAAAACCACATCTGGAGTAATGCATGCAGTACCGGTCAGGGTACTTACGGAAGATGTTAATATGTTGGCAGCTGTTCAGAGAATGTTTAATAAATTAATATCAGTATTGTACTGCCTTATGAGGAAAGGTTAAACAGGCTAGGCCTGTATCCTCTGGCTTTAGAAGAGTCAGAGGTGACTTAATCAAAACATACAAGACTCTGAGGGGACTCGGTGGATGTCGAAAGGATGTTTCCTCTTCTGACAGAGTCTAGAACTCAGGGGCATAGTTTAAAAATTAAGAGGTCACCCATTTAAGACAAGTATGAGGAAACATTTTTTTCTGAGGGACAAGTGTCTTTGGAATTCTCTTCCTCAAAAAGCTGTGGGCACAGAATCTTTAAAAAATTTAAGGTAGAGATAGATTCTTAATCACCATGGGGATGAAAGATTATCAAGGGAATGCAGGAATATACAGCACAAGTTAAAAATCAGATCAGCCATGAGCTTATTGAATGGCAGAGCAGACTCGAATGACCAAGTGGCCTACTCTTGGTCCTTGTTCGTTAAATACACATTCAGTCGGAAGACAGGCAGCCATTGGATTAATTCCTACTCCCAAGGCTGTGCATGTAACCTAAACTGGTATTTAACGCAGCACTGAAGGGCTACTTCATTATCAGGTATGCTGTCTTTCTGATGAGATGTTAACAAAGGCTATGCCCTTCTCTGAACATAAAACTTTCCTTATCGATATCCCAAACAACTTGTTCTCACCAACATCTGCTCAGCATTTTCAACCCAAAAACAGATCAAGTTCTGATGAAGGATCATTGGACTCAAAATATTGACTCTGCTTTCCGTTTTTGAATAAGAAAGCTTGTGACTGTCCCAAGAACTTATACAAATGTTCAAGGTATCAGGAACTCTTCCTTTCAAGCAATTGTTTTCTGGCAATGCATTGGCATATTTAAACAGTTCATACTTCAGGTTTTTGAGAAGGTTTGTAGCTCGGGTTGTGGAGGAGGTTGTAGACTCGCTTGCCAAGATGGTGTGTTTGGTTGCAGACGTCTTGTTACCCTGCCACCAGAGGCGCACTGACGATGTTACCCAGCAGGGTGATGAAACGTCTGCAACCAAACACACTGGCTTGGCAAGCAAGTGTACAAACTTATACTTCACTTCTTCATAAGTAATCCTGAGATTACTAACCTCAATCTTTAACTTATAATGGGATCACAATCTAGGAATGAGGGATAAGCCACTCAGATCTGAGATGAAGAATTACTTCAGAGTTGTGAACCTGTGGAATTCTCTACCACAAAAAGCTGTCGGGGCCAGTTCACTGGATATATTCAAGAGGAAGCTGGACATGGCCCTTGCAGCTAAGGGGATTGGAAAGAAAGCAGAAGTGAGATGCTGAAATTGCACAATCAGCCATGATCATATTGAACGGTAGTGCAGACTCAAAGGGTCAAATGGCCTTCTCTGGCACCTATTTTCTATGTTAATCTAAACTTATCTCTAAAAGTGTCTCAGAGAGTGGAGTTCTTTTTCTTGAGTCATTGGCTCTTACATAAAGCAATTTTTCTTGGTTACGATTTTCTGGTAGTCAAATAACCATTAATCTATCTATATCCAGGAATCACAAACAACAGATGCTTCTAAGCACCTACAATTTGTGAAATCATATTTTAGCAAGATATTAATAAGTTTGGTGTGCAAACCTTATAAAGAAAGATAAATGCAAAATGCTGCAATTGCTGAAAATCTGAAACAAACAGAATGCTGAAAGCTCTCAGCAGGCTTAGCAGCATCTGTGGACAGAAAAAGAGTTAACATTTTAAGTCTGATATAAATCTTTCTTCAGAGCACAAAAGTCATACCGAACTCAACACACGCTGTCAGACCTGCTCAGTTTCTCCAGCATTCTGCATTTGCTTAAAAAGATCTACATTTCCAAAAGACATCCTTGTTCCTGTACTCGAATCCTCTCACTATGAAGGTCTGTTCCACTGCACACATACATTTTAAGTGACCGGTACAGGAGTACACACAGGTCTCATTGAGCATTCCCCTCTGAATTTACAGCTATTTAAATAATAATCTACCTTCCTATTTTCGCTACCAAAGTGGATAACTTCACATTTATCACATTATACTGCATCTGCCATGCATTAGCCCACTCAGCTTTCCAAATCATGCTGTAACATCTCTACATCCTACTCAGATCACCCTCCCACCCAGCTTTGTGTCATCTGCAAATTTTGAGTTTTATTTAGTTCACTCATCCAAATCATAAAACACTAACATTTTATTACTCTATGAATCTTTGAAGAGTAAGAAAATTGATAAGGGGGAAATACATGACCCATCAATTAATGATTCTTCTTTCATCAAGGTTTGCTCCCACTTTGCTCATTCAAATACTGCACCATAATATTTTCTACAGTGTCTTCCTCAGGTTAGAAAGGAGTAAATGTAAAATTATAATACCACCTATTAGCTAGCGTAAAGTCCTACATGCCACAGCAAAAGTCCTACTGAGATATAACAATTTGAATTTTAACAAGGGAGCAAGAACCAAAGGAGCAGGGTGATAATAAAGCAAGACACTAAAGCAGAGCTGCTCAAAAATGAGAGGCAGACAGAGATAAAACAGCATGAACATACAGCTGCTAGAAATTGAGAGGAGCAGATAGAGATAAAGCAAGGCCTGAGTGTGTAATTATGAGATGTGTCAAGGACTAAAGCTCAATTTCTGAAAAAAAAAATCAAAAGAAAGAAAGAGTGATGCCATGAAACAGCAAGTAAGCAATTGATTGATGAGAATTCCTATTTACAAAGACTTGGGCAGAACGAAGAACAAGCTCTCCAGAAGTTTGAAGAACTAGGCCCTAAAATAATCAGAACCTGAAGGGTAATAATATCTGGGTAACCATATGCCAATTATGATTGGATCAAGCAGATACAAGAATTAAGTGGATGGTTCAAAGACTGGCAAAGGGAATGAAGAGTTTCTGTTCATGAGTCAATAGAAGAAATAGTAGGGAAGATGGGTATTTTCCCATAGGCATTGCTTCCATCCAAACTGGGTTACGATCAGCATTTTGATGAATTGTATCACCAGGACAACAAATTTGGGATTGGAGTGTCCTTACACATGAAAGACAAATTTGACATATTTTCAGAAAGCAGTTAGGAACCCAGAAGACATGTTGGACTTCATTGCCTGGAGGTTAAAATGCATAAATAGAGATACTTTCCTGCAATTGCACAGGGGTTTTGATGAAACTTCATCTGGAGCACGTAATACAGTTTTGGTGTCCACGTAATTAATTGTAATCAACCTGTTTGAATAGGTTATAACACACGAGCAGTGCAGGTGGGATTTGAACTCAGACCTCCTGAACCAGAGGTGGGGCACTACAAGATCCTCAGGCTAACAATAAGTAGATATCCTTATTAAGCATTGAGGGTTGACTAGATTTTCTGGGAAGGCAGTGTGGTCCCACAAAGAGAGATTGTATAGAATAGGTCAATACACTGGATTTAAAAAGAATGAAAGGTGATCAAGTGCAATTTCTATCTCTGCAATATTGCACTCACTGTAACTCGCCTGTAATTGAAATACTCATCCATGCATTTGTTACTTCCAGATTTTAATATTGCAAAGCACACCTGGTTAGCCTCCCAAATTCATCTCTCTAAACTTGGATATCATCCAAAGCTCTGCCTTACGACTCCACAATCATACCAAATTCCGTGCTGTGCTAGTTAATCTATCTTGGATCCCAGTTAAGCAACTGCCTCTATCTTAAAATTCTTGTTCAATCACCCATGATTTTACCCCTCCTTATCTTCCTTCAAATTCGTAATCCTCTAACATACCTCTGCTTAACTAATTCTGCCCTACTGAATACTGAAAATTTGAACTGCTCCACCATTGGTAGTCATGCCTTCAATCACTTTGGCCCTAAGCTCAGAAATTCCCTCATTAAACCTCTGTCTCACTACCTCATTTTCCTCCATTAAGAAACTTATTAAACCATACTTCTTTGGCCATTCTTTTGTCTTCTAATTTACCCTTCATTATGAGGGAGGGTTCCAAATACTGCTCTATTATGCTCTTGTGAAGCACCTTGGGATATTTTGTTATGTTAAAGGTGCTTGATAAATATTGTTGACCTAATTAAAATACAGGGCTCTGAGAGGATTTGAGAAGGTAGCTGCCGAGTGACTGCTTGCCCTATCTGAAGAGTCTAGAAGGAGGAACTGTGAACTCATAAAAGGTGTCAGCTATTTCGAACTGAAAGTGGAATCGCCACTCCGAGGGTTGTGAACCCTGGAAATTCTCTACCCAAAAGGCGGTGGGTGGTCAGTATTTGAATATCTTCAAGGCTGAAATAGGCAAGATTTCATGAACCCACTGTAATAAAGGAATATGGGAGTAGGCAGTGGAGCAGAAATCAAAGATCAGGCATGACTTTAATGATTTCTGCAGTCAGTTCAACTGCCACAGGGCCTACTTGTGCTTCTATTTCTCCTGTTCAGGCACCAAAGGAAAATAACAAACTTTGATTTACTGAGCGCACATATTACATCCAAGTTACCTACATCTTATTTAAAAAAAGCCTTGTAACTTACAAATTAGTTGACCTGGTTTCATTTGTTTCCAACATGCACCACATACGAGACTAACATGACATAACTCTAAGACATCTTTTAAAGTGGTATTTGGGAATGAACTATTTAAAAACATAATAGCGTAAGAAAAAAAAATTACATTATATTCATTTCATGAATCACTCCACTAGATCTAAAATGTTAAGATTTAAATCAACCTCTTTGTTAGCATCACTTAAACACTGGAATCAGTATAACTGATGTATTTTTTTAAAAATACAATTAAACACAGTATTTGCTGATATTTGGCGGAAAAGTAGCACTACATAGTAACTTGGAGTAACTGAAAGAAAGGAAACAGATACACAAGGTGATGTCCTCTTCCTGCATAGAGTTTGTTTTAAAATTTATGTAATTAGTTAATTCCTCATTACTGCATATGTTGCCATCAGGACAACAGCAAATGAGTTATCAATGTATTTGTCATCTGTCAGGTCAATATGATGATAATGGTAAAGTGTGTTCAGATCAATATATTCAATTATATTTTCAAAACAGCTTTACAGTTGTCCCACTTTGGGTCCATTATAGTCTGGGCAAGGAAGTCCCACAGGTCTTCATCAATACAATCTTAAACTATCCTGATGAAATAAAAAGTCACAACTTGAAGTATTAACTGTTTCTCTCACCACAGATGCTGTCAGACCTGATGAGTCCTGCCTGAATTTTGTTCTTTTATTTCAGTTTTTCAGTACCAATGTTTTATTATTGTACAAAAGCAGTATGTTGTCATTCATTCCTTCCCTGACCAAGCTTACGTGGTTCTAAAAGTTAACCTTGTTTAAGGTATTAAACATTGTACAATTTTTAGACGGCTCGTTGGTCTAAGGGTATGATTCTCACTGAGGGTGTTGTACGTTGTTGACATGCGAGAGGTCCTGGGTTCAACTCTCAGACGAGCCCAGGTCTCTTTCATCTTCACTTTAGGCCTGGCTAGCTCAGTCAGTACAGCACCAGACTCTTAATCTCAGGGTCATGGGTTTGAGCCCTATGCTGGGCATCTTATGGGAGGCACAGTGGCTCAGTGGTTGGCACTGCTGCCTCACAGCGCCAGGTACCTGGGTTCGATTCCACCCTCAGGCAACTGTCTGTGTTGAGTTTGCACATTCTCCCCATATCTCCGTGGGTTTGCTCCAGACGCTCCAGTTTCCTCCCACAGTCCAAAGATGTGCACGGTAGGTGGATTGGCTATGCTAAATTGCCCATCGTGTCCAGGGATGTTTGGGTTAGACATGGGAAATACAGGGGAATGATTTTGGGTAGGATGCTCGTTGGAGGGGCGGTGTGGACTTGTTAGGCTGAATGGCCTGTTTCCACACTGTAGGGATTCTATGATATCTATGATGATTTTTTTTAAATTATGCCTTGAATAAATGAACTTCATTCAGGGGTATTTTCTTATCATGACTGACTGATCTTTCATAACTAAGTGGAGAAATTAAGGCAAACAATTAGGCAGCAGACATTATGCAGAAGCTGTGTGTGAATTATGACTTCTCAAAAACTTGCCCAGATACTCTGATAGTCTAGTAGAAATCAAAAGCTCATTGCACTGAAAACTGTGTTCTCACCTAATAGTGCAATCCTTATCTGATGTGACATAAGTCAATACAACTGACCACCTTAAAAGACCTACCAGAGCCTATCAAGTACCTTCAGTGTCACATTTAAAAAATAACTGTAAAACAGTAACATCAAAGAATGGAACAAAAACAGAAGTTACTGAAATGTTCAGCAGGTCTGGCAGCATTGGTGAAGAAAAAAAATCAAGTTCTGAGGAAGGGTTACAGGACCCGAAACATTAACTCTGATTTGTTCTCCACAGATGCCGCCAGACCTGCTGAGCTTTTCCGGCAACTTCTGTTTCTGTTCCTGATTTACAGATCCGCAGTTCTTTCAGTTTTAAATCAAAGAATGGAGATAGCTTTGGGAAGCACAACAAACTTTTATTTTACCCCCAAGTGTTTTACTGCCTTGATCAAGTTCTCACTGTAGTACAACCTTCATATTATTTGCTGATGTGTATTACCTCCAAGGGCGAAAACAAACAGGCAGTTCTTACTAACAAGTAATGTGGCTACGAGAAAGTGGCACAGCAGCACACATTGTAAACACCACTGGTAATTAATGCACAGTACACAAATAACATCACATACTATAATCAAGTCATCTATTTACAGATCTTTCACCCAGTTTTCTTCGGAAACACATGGTCAGGATTTCGTGTGGAAGCTGTAGCTCTGCTGCTGGTCAACTCCAGGTGATTTTAGTTCTAAGGCAATTAATTGTCTGTCATGGATTCTGGTGCTCTGGGATGGCATACCCTATCTCCAACAGCTGCTGGTGATTTATAGAGCTGGAAGCTATCCAGTCTTAACAGCACTGGTAAGGGCACTTTCGGCTGGGACAACAGCAGATTCCAGAGCAGCCACATCAGAAGAGGGGCAGGTTTGGGATGGGGGACAGCTTTCCATGCAGGAAGAGCCCCCCAGACGACACAGCATACCTGAATAAGAGGAGCATGCCCCCCCCCCCCCACCCCACCCAAAGATTCAGAATACATTAGGTTTTATTTTGTACCCCTCTCCCACCCCTCATTGCAGAAGTGCCGATGCCTTTGGTAAAATTGAGAAGCGCAAAATTCCACTCAATATTTTCTATTTTCTAAGCTTGCCCCAGATTGTATTATCAGCGCATGGAACGTACCCGAATTGCATTGTCTTCACCGGTGGTAATGAGAAGTGGTTCTCCATGAACAAATGTTACTCCTGTAACTGCTGTTGTATGGGTTTCCCTCATTTGAGCAATCAGTTTCTTTTCTTCCAAATCCCATAGTCCAATATGACCAACAGGGCTCCCAGCTGCCATCACTGGATAACCATCTTAAAAAATTAAAAGGTGAAATAATATTTTATCCTTGTAAGGATTCTAACAACAATGCACAAAGTAATTTATAAAGGAGTGCAGTACAAAGTACAACTTATAAATTAGACATTATAATAAACAGAAAAAGTGAGCTTTACAAGATCAATGCAAAAGTCCTGCTTTGCAATTTCTCAACAATTGTAAGATGAACGCACTACACTTAATATTTTAAACTATCAGCAGCAAATCGTATAATGATTTAAATTTTACTTCATATGACTAAATAATTCAATTCATTTAATAAAGAGGTATAGAATTAACTGCAAAACCAAAATCATAAAGTCTTACCCTTAAACAATGACAGTATAGCTATAATTCAAAACATATTTAAAGATTCCTAAACCTTCACCTAATATATAATTGATCAGTCTCAGCTTAAACTCCTTTTAAATAACAAATATTGATATAATCAATTACCTGTACGAAATGAGATTGCCGTGATTGGTCCCCAATCTTGTTGGAATTTCATCAACATCTCATCGTATTTCAAATTATGAATAATTATCTGACCAGATAGGAGGCCGACAGCAACTACATCCACAGCTGGTGCCTAAATGGAAAAATAACAGCAGATGAAAACATGGAAATCAAAACCTTTGTACAACAACCATTGTTACTTTACCACTTAAAAAGTAAAATTTTCTAAAAGGACTATAAATGTGCCTGACTCATGATAACAGAACAAATCAAATTCATTTATTACATGATTTTTAAAAAAATTTTGAAAACCATATACCACAAATCTGAGCACTTGTTTTGAGAGCCACAAATCAATGGCCTAGATTATAGAGTTATGCTCCTCAAGTACTAAAACAGTTGCAGATGAAGTGCCAGTATGTTAGTAGGGAGTACTTTTCTTTTAGGTGTAAGCTTTCTTTATTCTTTACTCTGAAAACTTATCCAAATGAAAGTCATTTCTTAAATTACGCATTAAATCAAGGAACTAAAAAGGTTACTACTGCTGAAAATATGCAGCATTCTGTTGAAGCTGGTCGTCTCACTCTTAGCAGGACCGATAAGACAATGCCAAATTTCAAAGGGGGCAGCAATTTATACGGCAGCAGTTCAAGAAGGCAGCTCACCACCACCTTCTCAAGGGCAATTATTGATGAGCAACAAGTGCAATCTATTTGTTGTACATAGACTCACAATATCATCAGGGAAGTTGTTCCAGGATTTTAGCCCATGTTGAAGGAACAGTCACACATTTCCAAATCAGGATGCTGAGTGGCTTGGGGGTAGAACTTGCAGGTGGTGACGTTCCCATGTATATGCCACCCGTGCCTTTCTGGATGGCAGTGGTTTTGGAAGATGCTAAGGAGCCTTGGTAACTATGTGCAGCGCATACTGTAGCTGGAACACACTGCAGCTACTGTTTGTCAGTGGTGGAGCAGTGTTTGTGTGAATATGGCATCACGCTCGAGTGTTGTTAGGGCTTCACTCAATCAGACAAGTGGAGAGTATTCCATCACACTCCTGCCTTATGCCTTAGCAAAGGTGGACACGCTATTGGGATGCAGGAGGACAGTTACTCACTGTAGGATTCCTAGCATCTGCACTGCTCATGCAGCCAAAGCATTTAAACGGCTAGTTCAATTTCTCAAGAATACGGGATTTATATAGCTTCACTACCTGAAAGGGTTCGGAAAGCAGGTTCAATAGTACCTTTCACACAAATCGTGTTTGAAGAACTCAGGCAAGTTAGTCAAAGATATTACAAGCAAATTTGAGAATGGAGGTCCTATGATGCAGTATATCTGGATCTCCATAAAGCATTAATAAGGTGCCACGCAAAAGACTAATACACAAGCTAAGATCACATGAAGTTAGGGGTAATTTATTAGCTTGGATAGAGGATTGACTAACCATCAGAAAGCAGAAAGTCAGGATAAATGCATCTTTTTATGGCTGGCAAGATATAACTAGTGGGGTGCCATATGGTTTGATCCTCAGACCCCAACTATTTACAGTCTGTATTAACAACTTGGATACAGGGATAGAAAGTACTATAGTCAAATTTGCAGATGGCACTAATACAGGTCAGAAAATAAGTTGCAATGAAGATTTAAGAAAGTTGCAAATGAATATGAATAGGTTAGGTGTAAGCCAAAGTTTGGCAGATGGATTTTAACGTGGATAAGTTTGAGGTTATCCATTTTGATCACAAGAATAGAAAGGCAACTTATTTTCTAAATGGAGAGAATTTCAGAGTGCTTGATGAAGTGGGATTTGGGCGGCCTCGGGCAGGAATCTCAGAAAACTAGTACGCAGGTACAGCAGGTAATAAGGAAGGCAAATGGAATTTTGGCACATATAGAATCATAAAATCCCTACTGTGTGGAAGTAGGCCATTTGACCCATCGAGTCCACTGACCCTTCAGAGAGCTGCCCACCCAGACCTACCCCACTAGCCAATCCCTGTAACCCTGCAATTCCCATGGTTAATCCACATAACCTGCACAACCGTGGACACTATGGGCAATCTACCACGGCCAAACCACCTAACAGAGTGTGATGGATGAAATAACCTCAGAGAAGCCGGTATTCTGTCACCAAGTCACCCCTTACTGACATGTGTAGAGTCCTTGACAGTGATCTAGCTCCCTCAGAGGGCAGCTCAGATTGAACAGGATGACTGACACTCCCATTCTTATCTGTCAGCCAGGGTTCCCTGATTGGACCAGATTGACAGCTCCAGTCAGGGAACTCATATTCTACGAGGACCACCTGACTGACCTTGTTACAGTGGATACCAAGACGCTGAGTAAATTTGAGGAGATGCAGATTTTTAATTAGCAACAGGTTGAGGGGTTATGGAAAGTGGAGTTGACACCAAAATGAGATCAGCCATAATCATATTAAATGGCACAGTAGGCTCATGGGATTGAATTGCTGACTCCTGCCCCTAGTTCTTATGTTTCTTTCAAAATGAAACTGATTTAATACATGAAAGGAAAAAATATGTGGTGTTAGAAGATTTGTCCAAGCTTGGTCTAATTGAAATAGCTATTCAAAGAGTTAAAGGAGACTTAATAGCTAAATTTCCTCTGTTTCTATAGCATTTTTTAGAAAATAAGAAACAAATCATTCACTTGTATGCTAATTGGCATTTATACAGATGCTCACTTTCGTGAAAAAAAAAACTAGAAAATTGACAGCATCATGCTTTCAACACAAGCTATAATATTTAAAACAACAGGCAGCACATTACAAAACACTGCACTGACCTGTTGAAGCGCTGATACTCCTGAGCCCCAACCTTGAAACGTATACAAAAGTTTGCTAGAGTAGGATCAAAAGGAAAGTTAATCACATTAAAGCACTATTGTTCAGTAAAGGAAATCCCTCCTTTACATTTGTGAGCTGTAACCAGCTCAAATCAAATATATTATTAATAGTTCCCATATGAATTGTCACCCATCTCTTCTATTTAATGAATATGACAGAATAATTCCACATAAAATCTCCTGTAATAGAGGGAGGTAAATCAAAAACATTTCTAGAAAAGAGGTCAATTTCAACTGAATACTCCAAGTTATCCCAAGCTATTTGCAAAGTCTAAGAATAGTCATGTTCTTTGAAAAATGTTGCATTCGCAGAAGTAAAGAAAAACCAGAGTAAAGTTCATTCAGTCAGATGTAATTTTATAACATTTCAGACATATGGCTTACTTTTCTTCGAAAAGACTGCCCTACATAAAACTAATACAAAGACTCACTGAATGGGTTACATGACAGGAAATATTTTCATAAATATTATCTGCATCTTCTCTAGAGCCTTCAAATTCTTGTCAAAGTGCAGTGTCCAAAATTGAAAACAGTTTTTTACAGTTGTGGCCCAAAGAATTTTATATGAACATTATAACTTCCTGCATTTAACTCCATGCCTTTATGTATAAGGGCCAGGATCTCATGTTTACTCACAAAGTTTTAAACAGAATGAAAGGATAGTGGTTGATTATTTTGAACAACCACAGGGTGTTGATTACTGTCAATTGTAATCATCACCTGTCCCCAAACATGCAATCTCTCTCAAGGAAATGACACTCAGAATCACCATAGAATCCCTTAGTGTGGAAGCAGGCTATTCAGCCACACCAACCCTCCGAAAAGCATCCCAATCAGACCCAACCCTCTACTCTATACCCTTGCACTTCCCATGGCTAATCTACTTAGCCTGTACATCCCCGAACACAATGGGCAATTTACCATGGCCAATCCACCTAACTTGCAAATCTTTGAACTGTGGAAGGAAACCAGAGCACATGGAGGAAACCCACGCAGGTATGGTGAAAATGTGGAAACTCGACACAAACAGTTGCCCAAGGCTGGAATCGAACCTGGGTCCCTTACCACAGCCACCAGACCACCCTGCTTTGCCAACTGAAGAAGTGATATAAAATACTGTCAGCTTTATGCTCAGGTCCTATCACATCAAAACAGGGATAGAAAACTAACAAAAGCAGTAAGAGATACACAGCTCAAGATTTCCCTTCTGTTTGAAAAATAGACTACATGTTCCATCTTTCGTAAATGATGTAGCACATAATGCCCACGAAATTGGGCTGCAGTTTTACAAATAATGAACTATCATGCACATTAAAGTTGCCAAACTCCACAAAGAGTAACCAGCATAAGACAGCTGAAGACAACACAATAAAACGCAAATCCCATGCACAAGCAATACAGAATTGCACCATGTGTTAAATAAAACACTGTCAAAAACTGGAGCTACGGCATGATTCTTTTGACAGTGAAATCCCAATCACACCCCCTTGATCAATAATAAAAGGTAAAATGTTTGGATTAAACCTAGTTTTTGATCTTAAACTGTTTTTTATTTTAATTGAATTTTATGAAGCAAAATCCTTAATACTTAAATTATTTTAAAGAAACTATTAATGTTGAACTGACTTGGACTTGATATTCCATAGCTGAAGACTCCCTTGTTGGCTGCCAAGTAGAATTTTGTTGATATAGGTACTTGGATGCAAAAGGGCAGAAATTGCAAACGTGATTTTGTCAAAATTCAATTGAAGATATTCCTCTGTAAATAAATAATCAAATATTAGGCAAAAGCAACAAATACTTACTAAGCAAATATTCCCGTCATCAATTAATGGTATTTTTTACAAAGGCAAGTGCACCTTAAAGAGTATAGCGGTACTTGCATTTTCTTGCCAAGCCTATCACATTGGATCCAGAACTGAAGCTACCATTATATCATAAAACTTGTCAATTTCTTTTTAAAACATCTTTTACATTTGTATTATACTTTTCTGCATGATAATAGCTACACATATTATCAGAGTATTTTTACAGAATTTTAATGTATGAACGTATCAGGGACAGGAATGGTTGTTGGAAGTGCCGGGATTTCGATGCTTTAAAAGAAATAGGGAGGGTGGTAAAAAGAGGTGGGGGAGTGGCTTTGCTAGTCAGGGCCAGTATAGCAGCTATTGAAAGGCAGTTCGAGAATGATATATCTAGAGTCAGTTTGCGTTGAGGTCAGGAACAAGAAAGGAGCAGTCACTTTGTTGGGTTTTTTTTTTAAAAAACAGGCCCCCTAATAGTTGCAGAGTAGTAGAGGAGCAGATTGGGAGGCGGATACTGGAAAGGTGCAGAAGTCACAGGGTTGTAGTCATGGGTGACTTCAACTTTCCAAATATTGATTGGAAATTTTTTAGTTGTAATAGTTTAGATGGAGCGGATTTTGTCCATGCATTCAGGAAGTATTCCTAACACAGTATGTAGATAGACCAACACGAGGAGAGGCCACTTTGGATTTGGTGCTTGGCAATGAACCGGGCCAAGTGTTCGACCTGTTGGTAGGAGAGCATTTTGGCGGTAGCGATCATAACTCGTTACTCTTACAACAGACACGGAAAAGGATAGGTACGTACAGCAGGGTAAGGTTTATAATTGGGGGAAGGGTAATTATAATTCTGTTAGGCAAGAACTCGGTAAAATAAAATGGGAAGAGATGCTGTCAGGGAAGAGCACTGTTGAAACGTGGAGATTGTTTAAGGAATGCATACTGCGTGTGATCGATATGTTTGTCCCGAGCAGGCAGGGAAGATGCGGTCGAGTGAGGGAGCCTTGGTTCTCGAGAGAGGTCAAACGACTAGTTAGGAGGAAGAAGAAGGATGCTTATACAAGGTTTAGGAAACAAGGATCAGAAAAGGCTCAAGAGGGATACAAGTTAGCCAGGAAGGAGCTGAAGAAAGGGCTTAGGAGAGCTATTAGGGGCATGAAAAAACCTTGGCAGATAGGATCAAGGAAAACTCCAAGGCTTTTTACACGTACGTGAGGAATAAGAGAATAACCAGAGAAAGGGTAGGGCCGATCAAGGACTGTAAAGGGGATTGTGCACGAAGCCTAAAGAGATAGGAAAGGTCCTTGATGAATACTTTTCTTCGGTATTCAAGGGACCTCGTTGTAGGGGAGGACAGTGTGAAACAGGCTGGTAGGCTAGACGAGGTCGATGTTAGTAAGGAAGATGTACTAGGAATTTTGAGGAACTTGAAGATAGATAAGTCCTCCAGGCCTGATAGGAATTATCCAAGGATTCTATGGGAAGCAAGGGAAGAGATCACAGGGCTTTTGGCGATGATTTTTTCGTCCTCACTGTCCACAGGTATAGTGCCGGAAGATTGGAGAGTGGCAAACATCATTCCCTTGTTCAAAAAAAGGGAATAGGGATAACCCCGGAAATTACAGGCCACTTAGTCATACTTCAGTGGTGGGGAAATTATTGGAAAGGGCTCTGAGAGATAGGATTTATGATTACTTGGAAAGGCACAGTTTGATTCGTGATAGTCGGCATGGATTTGTGAGGGGTAGATCATGCCTCACAAACCTTATTGAATTCTTTGAAGGGGTGACCAAACACGTGGATGAAGGTAGAGCAGTGGATGTGGTATACATGCATTTAAATAAGGCGTTTGATAAGGTGCCCCACGGTAGGCTCATGCAGAAAGTAAGGAGGCATGGGATAAGGGGAAAATGTGGCAGATTGGATTCAGAATTGGCTGATCCTTAGAAGTCAAAGGGTGGTAGTGGATGGAAAATATTCAACATGGTGCTCAGTTACGAGTGATGTACCACAAGGATCTGTTCTGGGTCCTCTTCTATTTGTGATTTTTGCAAATGATTTGGATGTAGGAGTGGAAGGATGGATTAGTACGTTCGCAGACGATACGAAGGTGGGTCGAGTTATGGATAGTGTGGAGGGCTGTTCTAGGTTACAAAGGGGCATTGACAGGATGCAGAGCTGGGCTGAGAAGTGGCAGATGGAGTTTAACCCTGAATAGTGTGAGGTGATTCATTTTGGAAGGACAAACTTGAAAGCAGAATACAGGGTTAACGGAAAGATTCTTGGAAGTGTGGAGGAGCAGAGGGATCTTGGGGTTCATGTGCACAGTTCCCTGAAAGCTGCCACCCAGGTGGATAGAGTTGTTAAAGCGTATGGTGTGTTAGCTTTCATTAATACAGGGATTGAGTTCAAGAGCCGTGAAGTTATGCTCCAGCTATACAAAACCCTGGTTCAGCCACATCTGGAGTATTGTGTCCCGTTCTGGTCGCCTCATTACAGGAAAGATGTGGAAGCGTTGGAAAAGGTGCAGAGGAGATTTACCAGGATGTTGCCTGGAATGGAGGGAAGGTCTTACGAGGAAAGGTTGAGAGAGCTAGGGCAATTCTCTTTAGAATGACGAAGGATGAGAGGTGACTTGATAGAGGTGTACAAAATGATCAGAGGTATAGACAGAGTGGACAGCCAGAGACTTTTTCCGAGGGTGGAGATAGCTATTACATGGGGGCATAGTTTTAAAGTGAGTGGAGGTAGATTATAGGAAGACGTCAGAGGTAGGTTCTTTACTCAGAGTGGTAGGGACATGGAATGCATTGCCAGAGAGGGTAGTGGAGTCGGCCTCATTAGGGACATTTAAGCGTCTATTAGACAGGCATATGGATGATAGTATAAGGTAGGGGTGGAGGTTAAATAGGCCTTAGGTTTAGGGCAAAAATTCGGCACAACATCGTGGGCCGAAGGGCCTGTACTGTTCTATGTTCTATGAAATACTTCAAGGTGACACTTACACAATGAAGTCCATATCACCCCAAGCTCAAAAGCACCACATTCAACAACATTGAATCTTACATATCAGAAAAAGTATCAGGATCAAACATCCATTGAGCTTAGTTAGAGACAAAAAAAAACCTGCAGATGCTGGAATGCAAGGTAGACAAAACAGGAGGGTGGAAGAACACAGCAAGACAGGTAGCATCTGGAGGAAAGGAGAAGTCAATGTTTCAGGTATTATCCTTCTTCAAGCTGCCTGGCCTGCTGTGTTCTTCCAGCCTCCTGACATGTATTGAGCTAAATCTAAATATACACAAATTTATACAATGATTACTGATGCAGCTGAAGGGTACTACAATTATTGCCAGAGTCCTGGGGTACAGACAAATCAGCTAATGCTCCTGCTTCCAACTGTTATACACTTGGGTTTGAGTATAATACTCCATGGAAGAATTAAGTTCTATATGTCCAGACATAGTTTGAACAAAGGAACAGAGGGCATTGTTGCTAAATTTGCATATGACACAAAGAAAGGTGACAGGACAGGTAATGTTGAAGAAGCGGGGAAGACACAGGACTTAGACAGGATAGGAGAGTACGCAAAGAAATGGTAAATGGAATACAATATGAGAAAGTGAGAGTTATACACTTTGGTGGGGAGAAGGCGCATCACCAATTTCAGGCGTACAAGGTTAAGAACCAAAAAGCATTGAAAACAAACTAATAGTGTAAATCTTAATGATGCATGGTATGTTATCTTTTATTCAGGTTAAATTGATAATCTCAATACTTTCAAATTATATTCCTTATAATGTATTGTATTCCTTATAATGTATTCCTTATATTGTTTGAAGAGACTAAATTGTAGTTGTACAGGAGCAAACATTACATCATCTTATAAACTTACCCTCTGATTGCACATCCCAAACTATGAGCTTGTTATCACGATCCACTGAAATCACATGATCACCAAATGGCAACAGGAGGTGGACCTCTGAATTATGTCCTTTATACGAGTGCACAATCTAAAATTAAGGATAAAACATGGTTGGTTAGAGAAAACAAATACTGCTGATAAACTGAAAAAAAGCATTGTACTAACAAGTTAAATGAATGAATTACAATGAAAGAATACACTGAAGAATCAACGGGAAATTTAGTATATACACATATCAGAACAAAAGGAGATCACTTAGCGCCAAGAGCCTGTCCTGCTATTCATTTCTGACAGACCTGAAAACTTGCTTTTTTTTTTAAAAAAAAAATTTGCACCCTAATTCAAGACTCCTGAACCATCAGAAATATGCATATGTAGAGAAAAAACCACCGATCTAATCACCTGTTAACTTTGTACATTCCAGTTTACATAATCTGGAATCCAAGAAGAGATTATGTAAATTGCCAAATTGCGCACTTATTTACTGACAGAATATAAACTTTATTTACCAAATATTAAAAAACAACTTTGGCATTAGTTGAAAATTTAAGATTCATTGGATGAATTTAGTTCTCTATTTCCTCTCTTTCCATACTGCCATACAAAAAAGAAACAGAATTTGGGAAAACGTTATGGATAGAGGTCTGATAAAAATGGTCCTATCTCTAGTTGCTCCTTGATGTTCACACAGAACAAAGTATCACAGGTACTACAAATGTGAAGTAAAAACAGCAAATGTTGGAACTACTCTGGTCTGACAGTATCTGGCCAAGAAAAGGAGATACTATTTTCGGATGGATAACTATTCAACTGAAATGGAAAAAGACAGAGCCATGACAAATTTTAAGCGAGTACAGACACAGGAGTTGTGGACAGTACTGGAGTATTCTGGGTGGAGGATTTCAACGTCCATCAAAGGTAACTCAACAGCACCACAACTGACACAGCTGGTCAAGTCCTAAAGGACATTATTGATAAATTAGGTCTGCAGCAGGTGGTGAGGAAACTAACAAGATTAGCAAATCTACTTGGCCTCATTCTCACCAATCTGCCGTAGATGCACTCATTGACAACAGCAAAGGCAGGAGTGACCAATGGAAAGACCTTGTGGAGAAGACATCCTGTCTTCAGATTGTGCACACCCTCCTTTGTACTGTGTGGTACTACCACTGTTTTAAACAAGACAGACTTCATACAGATCCAACAACTCATAACTGGGAATTCCTGAGGCACTGTCAGTCATCATCAGCAGCAGAATGGCCAATTACTGTTGGACCAGACTAATTCCAACATTTGCTGCTTTTATTTCTCATTTGTAGCGTGTGTGCTCAAAAACAAATGAGCAAATATCAAGAAGCAACCTGAAGCAAGACCATTTTTACTAGACCTGTATCCGTAACATGTTTTCCCAAGTTATATCCATTTAATTTTTCCGTATGGCAATACTGAAAGTGAGAAAATGGATACAGGTATTTCTGCCATAACTAGTGTTTCGTTAACGCGAATTGACTGTAACGTGATTGATGAATAGTGAACGCTGTTTGGATAATGTGAACTTTCTACTGTACAGTATAGCAATTTTCTACAGCGATTTCCCTATAATGCGATTTCTATAGCATGATTTTCTTTAGCATGAGGTCGCACAAGAACACAACTATCACATTACAGGAGAAATACCCGTATTGATTTTTCATCCACTGAATCTTAAAATTTCAACTGATGCCAAAATATACATTTTTAATACAATCTGTAACCTCAGTCTACACATCCCCACTATCATGACCATCAGTTCAATCCTGGCTCACTGAAGAGTGCAAGAGTGCATGTTGAGAGCAGCAAAAGTTTCAAAAAGTGACGTGTTAACCAGGTGAAACTACAACACAGAACTACTTGCATGACAAACAACAGACATAGCATGCAACAGAAACAGCGAAGCAATCCCACTACAAACAGATCAAAAACTAAACTACAGTTCTGTCACAATATCATGAATAGTTATGGACAATTAGAAGTTCCACAAACATCCCCCTTCTCTGCAATGAGAGAACCCAGAATAGCGAAAGAGGTAAATTTGAAACATTTGTATCTATCATCAGATTGAAGTGTCAAGTGAATAATCCATCTAGGTCCCCTCCTGAGGTCCCCTATTTCACAGATGTCAGTCTTCAAACAATTTGATTCACTTGCGTAATATCAAGAAAAGGTAGAAGACACCAAGTATGTAATGGCTGCAGAACTTGACAACATTCTGGAAAAAGAGCTAAAGACTCATACTCCAGTACTGTCCATAACCCTAGGCCACCTGTTTCAGTACTGTTACAACACCTAGCATTAAAAACTGCCCAGGTATGTCCTGTGCACATAGATCCAACCTGACCAATTAGCGTTCCATTAGTCACTCCTGATTATCAGCAAACGACGTGAGGGGGACTTTGACAGTGCTATCAAGGGGTACGTGCAAAGGAATAATCTGCTCACAAACACTCAGCTACTGATATCGCCCTTGGTCCAAACATGAGCGAAAGAGTTGAATTTCAGGGTTGTGGTGGGAGTGACTGTCCTTAACAACATATGGCATAAGGAACCCTAGCAAAACTGGAGTCAATGGAAATCCAGGGGAAAATTTCCCACTGTTTGAAGGCAAACCTAGCACAAAGTTTAGTTGTTGCAGCTCAATCATCTCCACACCAGGACTTCACTGCTAGAGTTGCTCAGGATTGTGTCGTTGACCCAACCAACTTAGGCAACTTCATCAATGAACTTCCCTCCATCATATGGTAATAAGTGGAGTTGTTTGCTGATGACTGTACAATATTCAGCACTATTCGCTACTTCTCAGATACTGAAATAATCTCTGTCCATACTTTGTGACTTATGAACATTATCCAGGTTTGGGTTGACAAGTGCCAAGTAACATTCACACAAGTGTGGGTAACGAGAGCGATTCTAACCCTCACCACATGACACTGAATTGCATCACCACCACTGAATCCCCCACTGTCAACATCCTGGGAGTTACAGCCAACCAGAACCTGAACTGAACCAGCCATATAAATATTGAGGTCATAAGAAGCCCAAGGCTCGGAATTTTGCAACAGGTAATAATTTTGCCCTTCCTCTATCGACAAGCTACAAGTTCAGGGTGCGATGAAATACTTTCCATTATTTGGATGAGTGCAACTTCAAAAACATTCAAAAAGCTTAACACCAGCCAGAACAAAGCAGCCCACTTGATTAGCTCCCCATCCAATCATTCCATTCACCTCCAATGCACAATGGCAGCAGCGTATACCATCTACAAGACACGCTACAGTAACTCACCAAAACTCTTCTGATAGCACCTTCCAAACCAGCTAACTCTACCACCCAGAAGGACAAGAGCTGCAGGTTTCTGAATGGGGCAGCACGGTGGCTCAGTGGTTAGCACTGCTGCCTCACAGCACCAGGACCAGGGTTCGATTCCACCTTCGGATGACTGTCTGTGTGGAGTTTGCACATTCTCCCCGTATCCTCCCTGTATCTGTGTGGGTTTCCTCCCACAGTCCAAAGATGTGCAGGCTAGGTGGACTGGCCATGCTAAATTGCCCATATTGTTCAGGGATATGAAGATTTGGTGAATTATAGGGATGGGTCCGGGTTGAATGCTCTGAGGGTTGGTGTGGAGTTGTTGGGCCGAAGGGCCTGCTTCCACACTGTTGGGATTCTATGAATAGGAATTTAATATTTATAGTTCCCCCATTCCTCACACTCTTATCCAAGGAAAATTGAAAATTTAGGGTAACTGCCTCTATCTCCCACCTATCTTTGCACATCTAACTAGATTGCATTCCTGTACCAGGTGACTTTTTAAACTCTGAAGTTTGCCATCGAATTTGAGTATCTCTGTTCTATCTACTTATATCCTTTATCACTGAAGATATTTAAATTGCAAGAATAACACCACGTGCACATAGTTAGAAAAAAAACAAGTAAATTAGGAAGTTAATTTTGAAGTTAAAAAGTCTCAAAAAAAATACTCAACAACTTTGATACTCTCAGTGAGTGAGCAAAAACAAACTCACCTCTTTGTTTCTAGCAAATGCTTTGACGGAGTTGCCATGAGCTGCAAACACAAGCATTCGGTCTGCTGCCAGACAAGTGATGTCTTCAGGAAGTGCATTACCTACAGGGATAGCTTACAATATTAAAACTGGAAATCCATCAGAATTGATTTTTCTTCAATTTAGGTGGTTTATTTTGTTACATGTGGCAATGCCAAACTTTCTTAGAGAAAACAGTTCAATATTACTATATAATATATTATATATTATGTATTTAAAAATCATACAATTTCTACAAATAATATTTCCTAAACACAAATACAGATTGAGAAAAACAAACCATCAAAACAATAGCCTGTATTTTTATAGCATCTACACAAAAATAAACATTTCATAATGCTTTGCAAGGTGATGGATAGGTAAACAGAGCAGGGGTAGGAGGAGCAGTTGTTAGAGACTAAAAGCATGATCAAAAAAATCTTAAGATGGCTTCTGTTGTGGAGTGGAGAAGACATTAAGGAAGGAGTTTCAGAGTTTGGCACATAGTGGTTGAAGAGGGTTAAATAATTTATATTGAAACTTATTTTTCTACTATCAAATGCAAGTTTATCAAAAACCAAAACAAATACACGGTTACTCAATTGATCCCAAATAATTTGTTCTCACAATGCATTGTTGCATTTTTATCCTCCCATAATTTTAAATGCTGCTCATCTGAAATATTTGCTAATTTTGCTGAAAGGTTCATATCCAGAACATGGTAATTTATTCTTTTCATCAATGCTGCCTGACCTGCTGGCATTGCCAGCACCTTCTACTTTTATATCAAGCTTTGACTGAAATGAAGTTCCTATCATCTGACAGAATCCAAACATCAACAGATTGAAAGTCCTTACATTTCTAATGCTATTATGCAGCTGTTGGAGATCTCAATGTCAAAATGACTGTCATTTGCAATACTTTGCACTCTTGGGTAAACTGCCACCCGACAAAGGTTTATGCCCTTTCAAACTAGAATATCTTTCCACAGGGAATGTGAAGAGGTGACGGTTACTCGTAAGGTTCCAGTGTCATCTGTACAGTCACCAAATATACCATCTCTATGAAAATAATAAGTTTACCAAAAGATGACTCAACTTTGAAACACTTTTCCTTGTGATAAGACGAAAGCACAACTGATTCCTCTCTGAAATACCAGGGAAGGTTCTATCTAGATTGTAGTAATTGAACTGGTATGTAATATCTAATCGGGATGCACGTGTCTCACTTAGCCTATCATGAAATGATTGTCTTCAAAAACTGAAGTACCGAAGGGATTCCACAACTGGACACACTGATTAACAAAGTGAAAAACAGCTGACACTTGATTCTTTTAGGGAAAGGTATGATAAATGCCTCAAGCACAATAATTAAAATGGAGAAAGTGTTCAGAGAAAAAAAAAGACAAAAACTTACAGCCGACACTGAAAAGAATAAAGGTAAAATCGCAGGGCAGCACAGTGACTCAGTGGTTAGCTAGGCTGCCTCACAGCGCCAGAGACCCAGGTTGAATTCCAGCCTCATGCAACTGTCTGTGTGGAGTTCACACATTCTCCCCGTACCTGCGTGAGTTTCCGCCAGGTTCCCTGGTTTCCTCCCACAGTCCAAAGATGTGCAGGTTAGGTGGATTGGCCATTCCAAATTGCCCATAGTATGCTGGCTAGGTGGATTAGTCATGGGAAATATAGGGTTACAGGGATGGGGTGGGACTAGGTGGGACAATATTCGGAGGGTGGGTGTGGACTCAATGGGCTGAATGGCCCGCTTCCACATGCTAGGGATTTTATGCTTTAGAGAGTGATTTTAATGGCTTTATTCACAACATAGTCCCAGAGGACCCAAGGCTGCTCTCTTATCAGACAGGGGGTCACCGCATCTCAGGAGAAAAGGCAAGACCTTCACTGAGACCTCTGTGGTGCTCGAATTGAACCTGCGCTATTTGAATCACTCTGCATCACAAACCAGTCATCCAATCAACTATGCTAACCAACCCCCAATGAAAAGAACTGGTACCTTTCCAGTTACAGTTCCCTAATGAGCTATTGGAGATACATGTATAAACAGCAACTATGAGAGGAGGG